TTCTCTGGGAGAGTATGTTTGGTCTTCGGTAATTTGGCTTATGGTATTTCAACTTTTCCAGGGCTTCCCTTATGCACTCCTTACTGCATCCAAGTGCTCATTTCCATCGGCACACACTCCTTCTTCCTGAGAGTGATGTTTTCTTGCTACTCTCTCTCTCTGGCACTGTTTCTTCTCTTGGCAAAATGTCAGTATTATTCAGACCTTTCTCTCATTGTTCTCTAACAGACTGAGCAACTGCTCTCTACTTTGTGCCTTTTGTACGTATCTCTATTGTAGTACTGACCTTTTTGTATCATGGTTATTTAGTTCATGTCTGATTTTCCACTAGCATTCAAGGGAGGCAGACGTGGATGTGTTTTTATTTTTCTCTTTAGTCTCTATGCCCAGTAAATATTACTAGCACCTAATGGGCACTCAATTGTATTGAGTTACATTTGGCAAATTTATTTTTAAGATGGTACCCAGATACAAGGGGAAAAGAAAAAAAAAAATATTAGGTATTTCTAGTGGAGGTATTTTTTGGATAGGATTGACATTTAATTTAAATCAGTAAATTTTGAGTAAAGCAGGTTGTTCTCCAAAACCGTGGTGGGCTTTGTTCAATCAGCTGACAGCCTTAAAATAGACTTGCCTCCTTCAAGGATGGGAAGTTTTGCCAGCATGTCCTGGGGATTCTAATTCTTCCCTGAGTCTCCAGCCTTCCTGCACCTCCTGCAGAGTTTGGATTTGCCAGCCTGTACAATCACATGAGCCAGTTCTGTGAAATAATTCACATTTTCTACATATCCTGTTTGTCTAGAAAATCCTAATACAGGAAGTTCACTTTTAAAAGTTTCTGGTGCTGTTCACTCTGTACCTTAATTACAGAGTTTAAAAAAGGTTGACAGAAAGTTGTCTAGGACTTTGAGTGAAAAGTATCTTCAAACCTAACTTTCCCTCTTATTTTTATTCATTCATATATAGATAATATATAATATATAATGAATATTTCTATATATACATTTAAGGCCTAATTTACATACATTGACATGTCCAGATCTTAATTCCCATCACCCCATAAAGTTCCCTTACACTCTAGTCCCCCTGAGCCTGAGCAGTACCTTTCTGATTTCTGCATTGAGAGATTTGATTTGCCTGTTCTTGAATTTCATATATACACATGGAATCATCCAGTATGTAATAGTGAGTGTCTGGTCAGTTAAGCATAATGTGTTTCAGAGTGAGCTGTGGTGCTTTTAAGTTATCAGTATTTTGTTCCTTTTCGTTGCAGACTAGTAGTCAGTGTATCAGTCAGTAAGTCAGACTGTCTCATGGCTTATCACTCTCCTATTGATGGATACCTGGGCTCTTTCCAGTTTGGGGCTAATGTGGATGAAGCTGTTATAAACATTCTTATAAAAAGCTTTTTGGGAATATGTCTTCCACCTCTCATAGATAAATATCTAGTAGTGGAATTGTCTGGTTCATAGGACAGACTTATGTTTAACTTTCTAAAAATTCTGTTTCCATTTTTCTTTCCCACCAGTATACAAGAATTCCAGTTGCTTTACATTCTTCCTGAATTTGCTGGTTTTTGTTTTTTCATTGTATCATTCCTTATAGGTGTTGAGTGGTAGTATCTCTTGCATTCCTCTTAAAATTAATATGTGGAACACTTTTCGAAGTGCTTATTGGCCATTCATATGCTTTGTTTCCTCATGTCTTTTTCTCCTTTAAAAACTGGGCTTGTTGTCTAAGAGGAGTTTATACATTCTAGATAAAATCTTTTATTAGATACAGTGTTACCAGATTTTCTTAATAATGTCTTCTGGTGAGACTTCTATTCCATCTTACCATGTTTTTCTTTTAGGATTAATGCTTTATGTGTTTTCCAAAAAAGCCTGTCTACCCAGACATTATGAAAATAGACTTTGTTTTCTTCTAGAAACTTTGTAGCTTTATATTTTTATGTTTAGGCTTAGGATCCACCTTGAATTAATTTTTGTGTATGGCTTGAGGTAGAGGTCAAGGTCCTTTTCCCTTACAGATATTCAGTTCCAGCACCATCTGTTGAAGATTCTGCTTACTGAGTCACTTTGATGCTCTTGTCAAATTTTTGACTCTGTATCCCTCAGCTTTGCCCACTTCCTTCTGAACTTTCTCTTCTGCAAGTAGTCTCTTTGGGTTTTGTATTTTTTGGTGACCAGTGGCCATCCTATCAACTTGAAAAGTAACTGCATTTATGTGAAGGCATAGTTCATTCAGTTTTGACACAGAGGGGACTTGAAAATCTAATAAATAGGGAAGCTGGAGGACACAAGATGGTCGTCGTGAAATAGTAAGATCTGGTTGTTAAGCAGTGGCATGAAGCACTTGTGGGAGGTAAGGGCCCTAGCTGACACCTCTTATGAATACTTCCCTTTTCTAGGCTTTAACATTTTAATTAGGAATAAATTCATTTTGTACCAACTGGTTTTCTTGTTCATGCCATTAATTGGTTTTTATTTAAACGCTAGCCTGTAGAAAGGAAGCACAGAAAAATTTAAACGTCTCTTCTTCATGCACAATTTGGAGAATTCCAATAAAAATCAGGTCCCTGACAGAGATTGCACATCTACTGACCTGTGTTTTGTGATTACAAAGGTTTAAGAAATCATTAAAAAGACAATTGGTGGTATGTATGTGTCTGTTTGTGCACCAGTTACCACATTTTTTAAAATTATAGAAGCTTAATCATTTAATGATTAGGAGAGTGAAGATCCTTTGTAGTTTTTGGTTTTCACTGTTTTCCTTGTCATTCTTTACATGCTATTGTTCCATAATTTTAGTATTTAGAACTTTAGTATTCTCTAATATAAAGTTATTTTAGTTAGGGTCATTACAAATTTATAAATTAAGAACTGACACTGTAATGTTGAATTACCCTATCCATCGTGCTATCTTACTGAATCTTTAATTTTCTAAAATTAATCATTGATATTAATGTTCTCCAGGTATACCAAGAACTGCCAAACTTTAAAGGGCTAGATAGTAAATATTGTAGGCTTTGCCATATGTCTCTGTTATAGATTCTTTCCTTTTTTGCTAGCCACTCTTTAAAAGCAAAAAAAACATTTTTAGCCCAAGAGCCATACACAGTTTTTCTTTACCAACTCTTACGCCTCTGATCTGTCTATAAATAGTATATCCTATACTTCTAATATAGGATAGAACAGTTGTGGAGATGGTAAGAATTCTTGCCTTTTTCTTGACATTAGAACCATAGTCTCTAATGTTTTCCTGTTATATAAGATAATTGACTTTAGGACTAAAAGAGTGTATGTTTTTTATCATGTTAAATAAGCATTCAGCACTTACCATTCCTTGAATATTTTTATAAGGAATGGGTTTTAATTTTGTGAAAATCTTTTAGCATCTACAAAAATAATCATTAGATTTTTCTCTCTTGGTGTATTAGGTCATCATGTATTTTCTTAATGTGATATTGGATTTGGTTAATAATGTTATTATGAAATTTTGAATCAGTGCTTATACATGATACTGGTTTGGGGTGTTTTTTGTACTGTTTTTAACAATTTAGATATACATTATAAATGTAAACACACTATGACTGTTACAGATCACAGAAACAGTTGGTAAATTTTCCTTAGTTTTCATGTCTTACAGCAGTTTATGGAGCATTAGAACTGTTCTGTTAAAAAGCTGGCTGGAATTCCTCTGAGACCCCATGGGCCTGGTGCTTTTTTCTTAGAGTGGTTTCTTTTTCTAGAGAGATTGGCCTGTTTTAGCTTTATTATCTCTGTGTTCAATCTTGATAACCTGTATTGTCCTAGCAAAGTACCCATTTCATTCAGGTTTTCAAACTCATGTAGTGATTTTTAAAATTTCTTGTTTATTTTCCTTATTTATCTTTTTGGTTATTGGTTGTGTCATGTTTAAATCTATTATTGGTGCCTTTAAAAATTATTTTAATTGGACACTAATTACTTTACAATATTGTAGTGGTTCCGTCATAAATTGACATGAATCAGCCGTTTGAATCAGTTCTTATTTATCTTTGTGTATACTTGTGTTTGCTCTGCTCTTTTCCCCTGCCTCTTTTCCAGTCAGATTACTGAGTGGTTGTGTTGTTAAGTTTAAAAAAACAAAACAGATTTTGATTATTAGGTCTGTTTGTTCCATTGTCTATTTCATTGATTTCATCTGTAATATTTCCTTATCCTTTAAAGACTGTCCACTTGCCTGAAATAACCTTTGTTTTTTATTTTTACCCTTTCTGAATATCTTGGGATACAGTGTGTGGTTAGGTCTAGTTTTGTAAGCTACATTTTTCTTTTAGTAGCTGGCTTGTGTCTATTCACATTTATTTTTATGATCAATACTTGAAGTTGCAATGGTCTCACAGTATTTATAATTACTTGTGTTTTACTTGCTGTATTTGTATTCCTTTTTCTATGATGTATAAGCTGATACGAATACCACGAAAACAGGTATACATATAGCAAAAAGTTAAATAGGCAATCTAAACAAAAATATAAACCTTAGGTGCCAGAAACTTTTTTAAAGAGCAAAGCCAACACAACAGTTTTATCTGCTTTCCCCTTTCCCTCTGTGTTTGTTACAGGCAGCATTTGCGCATTAGTCTTCCATCTTTACATTAATATTTGTCTTAATACAATGTACATTAAAATCCTCAGTGCTCTTTTGCTGTAGTTTTTGCAGTTATTCTCTAGATTACTGAAGATGGGCTTCTGAGTGGTAGGTAGGTTCTTGTATGTTTAAATGCCTGGGCCAAGCTGTAAACACAAGTGTTCTTATTATGAACACTGTGCTTTTTCTGCACCTCACTACTTACCTTTGCTGAGTCATAATGAATGTCCAGACCAGAAGCCCTCCACTAGGTTTGTACTGACCGTCTTCACTGCTAGTGAAGCATGAACTTCATAGTCTGGTTTGGGTTGCTTTTCTTGTTGCTTTTTTAGAAGGTGGTTTTAACTGCTCTTCCTTTTATCCTGCAGGACCAAGCCATATGTCCTTCTATGTCCGAACCCACAAAGGGGCTACGCTTTCTCAGTGGTCTCTCGGCAACGGCACCCCAGTCACAAGTAAAGGAGGGGACTATTTTGTCTTTTATTCCCATGGACTTCAGGCCTCCGCATGGCACTTCTGGATAGAAGTACAGGTGGGAAGCTCCCAGCTTTGCTGGTATCACTGATCAGGTTCCCAGGTGGTATTTAGCAAGACCCTTGGGATCAGTTAGTATTCTGCCTCCTTAGAGCTAGAGAACTAATCAACTCTCTCCTGCAGGTCTTGGAAGAACAGCCTGAAGGAATGGTCACTGTGGCCATTGCTGCCCACTATCTTTCTGGGGAAGACAAGAGATCCTCCCAGCTGGATGCTCTGAGAGAGAGGTTCCCAGATTGGACATTTCCCTCTGCCTGGGTGTGCACCTATAATCTCTTTGTATTTTAATCTTGTGGATGAGCTCTAAGTACATGTCCAGTGGGATTACTCCATGTGGCACAGTTTCTCCTTATGTTGCATGGACGGTTGTATGTAAGTCAGTGAATTTTAACGAGCATATGTTCAAAGAGCTTTGTGGGCTAACACTCTTCAGGGCTGAGCATGATCTATAATGGTTCTGTGGAGTAGAGTGCATGGCCCTTTTGACACTTGAAAATACCAGTTTTCTGGCACCTAAGCACACATGAGTACTACACACATATGTCATTTTATATGACTTAACAATAAAAGCTAGCAAACCAGTTTTAATAGTTGAGCCCTTAGGATCAAGAAAGATGCAGAGGTACTGTAAATCCCTTGTTAATGAGACAAGGGACATTTCCAGTTAAAGCCCAAGGCCATTTTTTGGTGTGTGGTAAAGTGTCACAGGAGTTAATGGTAGGTCATAAGAAACTGAGAGGAAGACTGGCTTCTGAGGCCCCAGCCGGTGCCGGGAGCTGTGCTCCTCTGGGCAGCCTCGTGGGCAGTCTTTGGAGTGTGCCTGGTACTAGGGCTCTGGGGCCCTAGTACTCCGATGTGGTAACCTGTATTGAAGTGGTGGCTCCTGTCCTTCAGACACGTGGTCACCAAGATCCATTATTGGGATGCTTTTCTGAGGTGGTTTTCAATATCTGTTTCCTTCTGGGGTTTCCAGGCTCTCTTGGTCTAGAATACTGTTTGTGGAAGTACAGGACATGAACTTCCTCCTCCGAGCGCTGAACTGCCATGGTGGCTGTTCTGGGGGTGGGAGGAGAGTGGAAGTAGCTGGTTATTTTATATTTATTCTGCTCATTTCTTTTTTATAAGAATCTTGTTATCCAAGGTTAATCCTTCAGGGCATAGTATTATTGATGCACTGGGTCCTTGTTTTCTAGCCAATGGAACAGGTTAGTTTCTCAGTAACTTACTGTGTCTGGCAGAACTGGCTTTCCTGAGACTCGAGCCTGTGGCTTGCACTGGAGTGTCCTTCTGTAACTGTCCTTACAGCTGTTGGTGTTTAGGTCCTGCACAACAGCAGCTCTAGGACTTAGAGGTGCTTTTCATGTTGAGGAGGATGGCTGTTGGCTCCAGCAGTGGAAGAGTTTGGTGAGAGCAATGGTAAATTCTGCTGGCTTTCTTTTTTTTCCATTAAAAATATAAAAAGTTAGTGTTTGTCTTTAGCAAGTCTAGGCTAAAAAAAACTTTTTTTTTAAAGAAAAGCCATAGTGAAACAAACAATACAGTGGCACTCAATCTACCTGAACAGAAAGAGCACAGTAGTATGTGTCTTTGAAATTACTTCTTAAAGCTGCTTGTCTGATGTATACAGTGCACATTCTGAATCATGCTCCTCATATGTCCTTAAAAGCTGAGCCCACAGACAGCAGGGGTACAGCCAGAGCTGAACGGTGGTACCATGCTGTCACAGGCATGGACACTGGCCCCAGTGCTTTTCCTGGACTTCCTAAGAACCATAGAGTTGACCCTTAAACAACACAGGGATTAGGAGTGCTGACCTCTGCATGCAAGGTTGTGCATCTGTGGATTCAACTATGGATCATGTAGTACTGTAATATCCATTTAATGAAAAATCCCTGTATAATTGGACCTGTAGCTCAAACCCATGTTGTCAAGGTTCAGCTGTATCACTAGTCTTAGATAATTCAAGTGACACACACAGTCTGCACTGTTGATGGCCTTTATAGACTCACAATTGTGGAGAAAAATAGTATCTAAATGAATTTCAAAATACAGGTGTATTTTCTGTTCTTGTGGTTAATCTGAAATAGATTACTGGAAATTATTTATAGGGAAAAGAAAAGCAAACTTCCAAATGTGGAGGAAGGGCAGTACCTGAGTTCCCTGTGATTCCCATCCCTCCCCGCTCCCCACCTCCTTGGGAAGCATGTTGTTAACTCCTTTTTGATGATAATCATGGTTTTCTTTTTGCCTTTATTTTCCTATGTGGACAGTTCGCTCTTGTTTTGGTTTTCTGTGGCATTATAAAGCGCTAATGTTGTATAAGGTCAGTAACAACCACATTAGACTCAGGGCATGCTTCATATTCTGGGCGACTGCTTTAATGCCAAAAATCATTAAATAATTGCACCCACTACTCATGGCTCTTAATATGCACACCGTCAGATCAGCAATCTGAAGAACTTGTTAGTTTTTGCACAGCACTGCACATTTGGGGGAAGTGTGGAGGATTGTGATTTTCGAGAAATTCTTAAAAATTTACCTAAGAATGACGGTTGCATGCAGTATTTCTGTTTCCATACTTTAGCAGATGTACATAGGTATGATCGGATTTCTAAATCGTCACCACCATTTAAGAAGCCAGCCTGCGGACTCAGGAAAGGAAGAATGAATATGTCCATTTCTTTTCACTGGTTTGCTAGGGATGAATTGTTGCCTTACAGTTTAACTGAAATAAACATGTTAAATACTAGTCAGTATCATTAACAGAGAAACAGACCATCATTATTTATATTTTCCTGTAATCCCCTCATCTGAAGAATTATTTTAAATCCATAAAGCCTTTTAGAGCTTTAAAAAAAAAAAAACTTTGCTGTTAGAAAGACCTAGTTGGCTCCTGTGGGTATAATTGCTATTTTAAAGTGTCACGTGAGCAAAGAACTCAACATGGCTACAACTGGAATCCGTTTTACTGTGGAATGAAATTGTGCGTTTGAATCTCACAGAAATTAAAATGTTGAGCCTACAGCCTTTTTAGCAGGTTTATCATCATTGTTGGCAAAGAAAATCACTAAAGGGCTAATAAAGAATGTTCTTTCATTGGGGGATGTGGGGCAGGGGGAGAAAAATACTATCTTTCAGTCAGAGTGACCCACTGCTCACAAGGAAGGCACCACCCCACCAGGCCTCAAAATAGAGAACCCACTTGTGAGCTCCAAGAGCTCTGTGCAAGTTACCTCCCTTTCCAAGTGAGTTTCCCTCAGAACAGTTCAGCACAAGGTGAAGCAGCCAAATAACTTATGTTCTTAATAACACTTTGTCTTTTAGGGCCAATAAAGCCAAAATGCACCTATGCCTCCCCATGTCTGTTTTTATTTGAAAAAACATCTTGGGCATTTTTGAAGTGCATCAGTACTTTTCTTTTGATACTACCATTTCCTTACTTGATTAGTGAAAATACAACAAGTATATTGATAATTTATTTTCTTCAACTTTGGCCTATATCATGACCAAAATGAGATTTAGCCCAGGAATGGAATGTGGGTTTAACACCTAAGTCAACGTAATATACCATATTATTAGAATAAAGAACAATATAATCATCTCAACAGAAGTGAAAATTTTCTGACAAAGTTAACACCTCTTTATGATAAAAAATTTAATAGAAGGGAACTTCCTTAACCTGATAAAGGTCATCTATGAAAACTCAATAGCTGACATCCTAATGTATATGAGACACTCAGTACTTCCCCCTAACATTACTGCCACTTGAATATTTTATTGGAGGCTCTAGTCCAGGCTCTAATTATAGATGACATGATTTTCTACATAGGAAATGCTAAGGAATCCACACACAAAAAACTACTATATAAGTAGTAAGTGAATTCAACAGTGTTATAGGATGCAATTGCAACATAGAGAAATCAGTTATTTCTATATACTAACAATCCAAAAATAAAACTTTTCTATTTGCAATATCAAGAATAAAATACTAATAATCTTATTAAAAGTACCTATAAAACCCTCCTGAAAGAAACTGAAGCCATGAATAACTGGAAAGACACTCCATGTTCATGGGCTGGAAGGCGTATTATCAAGATGGCAGGATTTTCCAAAAATTGATCTTAATATAATTCTTTCAAACTTTTAGCTGCCTTATATGTGTGTCTGGGTGCACACAAAAACTGACAAGCTGATTCTAAAATTCATATGGAAATGCAAGGGACACAGAAGAGCCAAAATGGTCCTGAAAAAACTTAACATCTCTCACGTTCAAAACTTCCTTCTTCTAAGTAGCAACAGTAATCAAGACAGTGTAGTACTGGCATCAAGGAAAGACCCAGAAATCAATGTAATACAACTGACAGTTCCAGAAATAAACCCATTCATTTGTACTCAATTGATTTTCGACAATAGGAAAAAAAACCTTTTCATTAAATGGTAAACTTTTCAGTAAATTATAACAACTGAGTAGTCACATACAAAAGAACAAAGTTAGATGTCTTCATACCATATACAAAAATTAACTCAAAATGGATCAAAGAACTAAATGTAGGTGCTAAAATATAAAACAAAAAAACATAAGCATAAATCTTCATAACCTAGGATTCGGAAATGGTTTCTTGGATATGACACCCAGAAGCTCAAGGAACCAAAGAAAAAGTTAGGGACTTCACCAAAACGGAAAAGTTTATGTTTCAAAAGACAGTATCATGAAAGTGAAAAGCCCTCAGAATGAAAAAATATTTGCAAAACATAATTGTCTAGTATCTAAAATATATAAAGAACTCTTGCAAATCAACAATAAGATTAATGAGCCATCTGTGAAGTGGGAAAAGGATGTGAATACAGTTTTCTCCAAAGAGATGTGAATGGCTAATGATATATGAAAAGATGTTAGCCATCAGGGAAATGTAAATCTAAACCATAAGATGAGACTTCATACATAACTCAGATGGCTAGAACCAAGAGTACAAAAACAAATGCTGACAACAGAAACTTGGAACCCTCATCCACTACTAGTGGAAATGATTTTTTCTTTTAAAATGGTACAAGCTAATGAGATGGATGAAACTGGAGCCCATTATACAGAGTGAAGTAAGCCAGAAAGATAAAGATCACTACAGTATACTAACACATATATATGGAATTTAGAAAGATGGTAACGATAACCCTATATGCAAAACAGAAAAAAAGACACAGATGTACAGAACAGACTTTTGGACTCTGTGGGAGAAGGCGAGGGTGGGATGTTTCAAGAGAACAGCATCGAAACATGTATATTATCTAGGGTGAAACAGATCACCAGCCCAGGTTGGATGCATGAGACAAGTGCTCGGACCTGGTGCACTGGGAAGACCCAGAGGAATCGGGTGGAGAGGGAGGCGGGAGGGGGGATCGGGATGGGGAATACATGTATATCCATGGCTGATTCATGTCAATGTATGACAAGAACCACTACAATATTGTAAAGTAATTAGCCTCCAACTAATAAAAAATAAAAAAAAGTGATACAGGCACTTTGTAATACAGTTAAGCATTCCCTGCTGCACCCCCTCCCCCCAAATTAATCAGTTATCATAACCCAACATTTCCACTCCTAAAGAGAACCGAAAACTTATGTCCACACAGAAACCTGCATATCAGTATCATTATGAATGATGGTCCGAGTGGAATCCATCCAAATGTCCCTCAACTGATGAGTAAAGAAATATAATATATCCTTAAAATGGTATACCCATATACATTTTAAATATAAATTTCTAGTTATAAGGAAAATTCTAAAAGGTGGAATTATGTAATGCAAGTATGACTTTTAATACATACACTTTTTGCTGTTAACTTGATGAATAAACAAAAAGTTCATGTAATGGTTTTATTGCCCTTTACCAAGTTCAAAAAAAATATATACACATTACAGAAGTAGCAGCAACTTTTAATTACAAGCAAAGGTTGACTCTACCCCCAAATAACTTCTTGTTTTGGTATCAGCAAATAATTTAAACTTCAAATAGTTATATTGAATATTTAAATTCATTGGTTAAATATGGCTTAAACAGTCAAATACGTGATCCAAACAAGGCAAAATTAAAATATGATTTAAAAAATTAAAGTATATAACAAACTACCAAAGAAAAGTTTTTCTGTAAAGCTGCCAATCTTTTTGCCTTGGGGCCACCTATATCTGTTGGTTGCAAAACAAGTATTTTATACAAGAAAAGTTTCAGTCATGGCATTAACCAGAGGAATATGGTTAACTTAATGGCGTCCTGCTTTTAAGAGAGCAAGATGAACCCAGCAGCACATTAGGATATCTGAAAAGATCATGGCTGTTTACAATGGCGAATCATTTTTATTGACTAAATACTCACATCAAACACAAAAGTAATGCTAGTCCTGTTCTCATAATGGACTAGGACAGGAGAAGAATTCCTCCAGTTTCTTGCTGGGCTAAATGGACTCACATGGAAAACATTTTCTATCTTAAGATTTAGGGAAAGGTGGTTTAAAACAAAGGCTTAAATAAACATAGCACCAGAAGGGCCAGGTACCAGTAATCACATATTCCACCCATTCAGGAGTTTTAGTATGTGAAAGTATTGCACTTGTAATGTGAAAAGTAAGTGATAGTAAATTATCAAACTCAGTAATTTAAAACCGCTGATGACTTTTAAACAAACATTTTTCAAATTTGAGTTTCCCTTCAAAGGAAACCTGGCTAGGACAACTAAATCTAGCCATTAATTTTAAAAAGCAAGGATAGAGGACCAAGTTTTATTTCTAAACTGTAAATTGCACTATGAGAGGAGAGGCTGTTTTACATAGTGGTATGAATTTGGTCCACATCAAATACATTATTATAAAAATAAGTTTGTTTTTGTAAAAAATAACATTGCATTCCTTTGTTCAAATTGCACAGTACAAACAAGCTATCTAAATTAATACTGTTATAAGGTAATTGATATACATACAGTGGATATGTGTTTAGTCTGAAGCAACTGAGTCTGCAACTGTGTTTTCATAATGTATGAAAACTAAGATTTAAGTCATATCTAGAAATACATAAAATATTTAAAAAGTTATGATGAAGAATGCATTCTTTACATACTAATTTTTAGTAGCCGTGATAATACAGGATTCAGCAGTCTATTTACATAGTTCATTTTTATTCAATTTACAAAAGCAATAAATAAGAAACTACATTAATTTGCACAAAACCTGTTTCATTTCATGATCAGTGTGACCATTTCTGTTACCTTATGACCAAGCCAATAAATCTGTCTTCCTCTATGAAGAGTGCTTGTATCTGGAAAGAAGAGCAAGCCCTGTCTTTGTTCTAAGAGTGAGTATCTATAGCCATGCAGAATCCAGCATAAAACCTTACAAATTATGGTACAAGCCCTAAAAATAGGAACAGTGCCTTTGAGTATATTTACACAAAATTATTCACAAAAAGATATGATTCTTTGATACAAAATAGTTCAGTGGTATCTAATAGCATAATTGATAAGAACTCCTCAGGCCTCTGCCTACACTCCCCTAGTAGGAACCAAGCTAGACAAAAAGCAGGCACACTGACACAGGTAAATAGCTTCCATCAATTGAGGACCGGGATTAACAGGCTAGAAGAAGAGCATCTTACAGGTACCTGTTATACCGGGGCAGGCATCTATTCAGAGGCCCAGTTAGGGAGTCCAGTGCTCTTGATCCAGGGGGCATACAGGTAGCTCAAGTACTTGATGAGCTACAGCAAGCACCTTAGCATTTATTTTTAAAAAGCAGTCTGGAACACACGCTGAACCAGAAAACATAGGAAGCTTTAAGTAGTGAAAAAGTAAGCTCATCTGGGGCAAAACAATCCCTGTGGTTTAAGAGTTACCAATCTTTTAAGAAAACCAAAATGTTCGCATATACATCTGTACAATATTCTGTACAACTTTCCACTGCAGCTTAAAAAAAAACTTTTATGAAAGATGATTTTGTTTTGATATCACATTTTTATGGACTCAAGGTTTCGTAGAGGAAAAAGTTAAAATTTAATAACACCTTACCAGAGTCTCTGAGCTGTGTTCTCTCCCTGGTTAAATTTTCCAGCTAGGTCACAGTGTCCTCAGCTGCACGCTGATGCTAATTAATACTGCCCGTGGTGACGGTACTCACTGTTGTTAGGACACAGAACAGTCGTAAGTCCCATCTTGAAAAGGTTCCTCCTCCTCTGCTCGTGTTGTGTCCTCTTCTTTCCGGCTGACCAAACTGCTGCCTCCGACCTCGCCCTGGGGGATGCTCCCATGGCCCGAGGAGCTCCTGTTCTCCTCTGCCCGGGGACTAGTCTGTTCAGGAGTCTTACCCACAGTCATTGGCTGGAAGGCTTCAGGCTGAACCTGCTCTTCTGTTATCTCACTAAGCTTCTGCAGGTGTGGCTTAATGATGTTTAAAAATGGCTTATATCCAGGACTAAGCAGAAGAAAAAGGAAATTGGCTCTTATCAGCCACATTCAAAAGGCTCCATAGCATGTTATGGATAGATTCTTACTAAGCATTGATACAGTAGGGTCACTGATAGATTATGGGGTACAGGAGGAGGTACAGAGGTGATAGGAAGGGAAAGGCTTTGAGACGCCAAGGCCCCCATGGACGGGGCTACACGTAATGTATGAGCATAAACAGCAAAGATGGATATTCTTTATCCAGTATTGCAATTAAAAAGCATATTCTATAATCGTAAACACCATTAATAGGATTTTCAGACTTGAAAAACAGGACCTTCAGAGAACATTTAACCTAAATGAATTTGCCAATTAAGGAAGACTAGACCCAAGTGAGGGAAACCCCAAATCCACAGGTAACTGGTGACAAAGGGGGCAGATTCTAGGCTCTTCTAACTTCCATTCACTATTCTTATTTTGGGCTTGTCAGTAACTGCCATGGAATGTTCAACTCACATGGACCTTAAGTTTTTATCTTGTTTTTAGGTTATCATTTTCAATTCCACAGAATTAGAAATATCAAGTTCCACCCTAGTTCTGAGGTCATTTGTACTGTATTAGTCCTCAGTGACACACATTCACTGACAACAATGGATATGATTCATTTAAAATAACGGTCTAAAATGGTAATTAAAGAAAATAATCTTAAAAATGAATATACAAAAGGAGTTTTTATTTCCAGCAACCTATGAATCTCCAAATAAACAGAAGTAAGCCTTAATGTGAAAGGGGAGGAGTCTCCAGAGGAAGTCAAGGTAGTGAGCCTAATAACTTACCAATCTGTGGAGGCCCATCGGTCCACAGCATGCAGCCCTGTCTTTATGTTCTGTAACATCTCTCCATCTACCTCTGAAGACTGTATAATAACCAAAATCTGGTTGATTATTGAGGATTCTCTAAGAATCAGGCCTATAACAATGCACCAGTCCAGACATCCTGCCTCCATGAAGATGTGCAGCAAATACCTATATACAGAAGCAGAAACACAGTGACTCATGCTAGGAAGGATCTATGGATGAAGAGAAAGGCAGTCGTTATCAGGAAAGCAGCCTACATACCCAATTTGCCCAAACACCCTGAGGAGGCATTCTATGCTTCCAAAATGCTGAGAAACTCACCGAAGCTGGACCTGGGATTTGTGAGGCCCTTTACTCGCCAACTCCATGGAGATATGCTCCAGCTCTGACTGGGTTAGACTGAGTGTGGAGAAATTTTCATCCACCATTGTCCAGTCTCCATCCACCATGGAGCTACTTTCAGTCAAGTCCGTGGCTGAACCAATACTGCATTCATCACCTGATGAAGAATTGTCAAAAGTTACAAAGTAGCTTAATATGTTTTCCTTTAATTAAAAATATTCACTGTCTCTCAGATGTTGCTTCCTTTTTAGGATTTTGAGACCAAAACATTAAATTCACTACTAAACTTCCCATGTTAAATAGTAGAAGATATTAAAAAAAAAAATCATCAGAGAGGTAACCAGGCATTATGTGCCATGGAAAAGAAAAATACACTACTACCTATTAAGCAGTCTTGCCCACCTCTGGAAACAGCAACAAACCTAGCTATAATTTGTTTAAGTCTTTTCTGGGGGAGGGAGGTGCCACACAGTTTATGGGATTTTAGTTTCCAGGTCTTTGAAGCCTGAGAATACACAGTCCTAACCAATGGACCACCAGAGGATTCCCAATCAAGTCTTTAGATTCAATCACCAATCTACAAGAAATACAGAAACTGTTTAAACCATGAAGATGCAGTCAACTAAAATCCAGTCACGAGAAAATCCACAGAAGCAAGTCTCTTCAATGAATAAATTGCAAGAAGAAAAAAAAAAGATGGGGAAGGGGAACAAGCACTAAAAATGAAATTTACAAAACATAATCACTGTGTATGAATCTTATTTGGATCCTGATTCAAAGTATTCTTGGGCTTTCCTTGTGGCTCAGCTGGTAAAGAATCCACTTGCAATGCGGGAGACCTGGGGTCGATCCCTGGGGTGGGAAGATCCTCTGGAGAAAGGAAAGGCTACCCACTCCAGTATTCTGACCTGGAGAATCTGGACTATAATCTGACCTGGACTATACAGTCCATCGGATTGCAAAGAGTCAGATAAGACTGAGTGACTTTCACTTTCTTTTAAACCACAAAAATATTCTGACATTGTAAAACAGCTGGAATTTGAATACTTACTGGATATTTGATGGTATTAAGGAATTACTGTTAAATTTTTAGAGAGATGTGACATTATTATTTTTTTTAAAAAGTCCTTTTAGAAATATATACTGAAACATTCACAAATAAAACATACCATATCTTAGATTGAGTTCAATAATACAGGAAGGAGAAAGTGTTTTATCAACAAATTTATTCATGAGTTGGTAATAACTGAAGTGGGGGTTGGAGGGAAGGTGCCCATTATAGTATTATTTCTCCATTTACAATATGTTTGAAATGATCTCTTTAAAAAATTTTCTAAAGAAAAGCAATGATGCCACTCAGGTCCATTAGGATGCTACTATCAACAAAATCATCAAAGAAGTGTTGGCAAGGATGTGGCAAAACTGGAATTCCTGCCAGTGCTGATAGGAATATAAAGTGGGGCTGCTGCTATGAGGAAAAAGTTGAAAATAGAATTACCACATGAGCTGACAATCCCCAGAAGAACTGAAAACGAAAACAGTCTCAAAGAGACTTCCCATATTCACAGTACTCCCCCGTTCTTTGCAGCATAATTCACAATAACCAAAACGTGGGAGCAATGCAAGTGGCCATTGATGAATGGATAAATAAAATGTGGTCTGGACACACAATAGAATATTGCCAAACCCAAAAAAGGAAGGAAATTCCCATGCACGCTACAACGAGGATGAACTTTGAGAACATTATCTAAGTGGAATAAGCCAGACACAAAAAGACAATTACACAGGGACAGAAAATAGAATGTAGTTGCCCAGAGCTGGGGGAGGGGGAGAGAGGGAGTTTTCTTTAATGGGTATAAAGTTTTGCTTTTGCAACATAAAAAAGAGTTTTGCGGGTTGGTTGGCCAAGAATATAAATGAACTGTACACTTAAAAATCCTTAAGGTAGTAAAGTTTACATGTATTCTACTACAATAAAAGAAGCCATGACTTCTGTATGCCTCCCTACACAGCAGCAGCTCCGGTGAGTGATGACATACTGAAAATCAAACACCAGGCGAACGCCTGGCCATTAAAAACCTGCAGAAAATCAGGTCAGTTGCTACTTAAGTTCTTACATAAACCTAAACAACAGAAATCACTTTAAAGCTTCTTCAACTTGTAATTCACCTATTACTATAATTGCAGAAGACACACATTTTTTTGGTAAAGGGTCAGACAGTAATATCTTAGGCTTTGAAGGCTGAGGTGCAAAATTAAGGGTATCAAGCAGGAATTTACAAGAGAAAAAAATTTTCCCATAATTTTTTACAGCTGAAATAAACAATAATTGGTAACAATTTTTTACAATACAGGTGCACCTATGAGAAGAATGGAATTCTTTACACATGGATAAAGTTTTGTTTACTTGAAGTTCAAAGTTAGTGTTTCTGTATCATCAAAATTGATTACAAAGGTTCATTTATTAGTGTTTAGCTGTAGTGAGGTTTTACCTGTTTCATTTATGTAAAATAAACATGGCAAAGTATATAATCAAGGTCATTTTGGCCTTGTGCTAGTAACTATTCACCTCTCCAGCAGACACTAATGCTAATTCTCCAGCAGATACTAATGCTAATTCTCAAGGACACATCTTGAAATGAGTGAAGCTCTCTCTGAAATGCTACATACTGCATATAAAGTTTCCTCCAAAGAAACTAATGAGGAGCTAGGATTTAAAATGATATCTACCTTTATTAGATAAAGGTGACAGGAAGGCATCTTGCATCTGTGGCCCATGAGATGAAGCTGTGTCTATTTCTTGATGAGCAGGGCCAATGTTGCTGAGCCAGCTCTGACTTCGTTGGACATTAGAGACACCAGCATCTATCTCGAGGTTTAAAAATGGGTCAGTTGACTGTGACTTTAAGAGCTGCTCTCCCACTGCAAGGTAGGAAACAAAGGGAAAAAAAAAGGGGAATTAAAGGCGCACACACTGCTATTTCCAATTCAGTTCTTTCAGCTCTCTTCCCCCACCAACCCCAAATACTAAAAGTTCAAAGCCAATTAATGTCCCTACACAGCATCACCCATCCATGAACCAGGGAAGTTGGACTGGAACAGAATGGACTGACTAGATAATGCCACCCAGCAGTCATCTTCTATTATTGTTTAACTTACCAGAAACTAGGCAAAACCTTATTCATCCTTAAATGATTTTCCTTGGTTTTAAGATGACATGAAACTTCCAAATGCCATAATAAAAAGGTTTTTGTTTGAATTTTCATAAGTAATAATAACCTGAACTAAAAAACCTAAAAATTTTTTTACCAAAATACAATTCACTTTGCCCTCTCCAAATTTAGAAGATGGCCCAAGCTCTCAAAGACATATTTTTACCATTTCTCTGGAATGAATCCTGTCAGGTAAGTCACAATTTAGCTTATTTTGAGATCTGGGACTAACCAATGCCAAAGTAAAAGTCACTCAGTTGTATCCAACTCTTTGCGACCCCATGTACTATACAGTTCATGGAATTCTCCAGGCCACAATACTGGAGTGGGTAGCTGTTCCCTTCTCCAGGAGATTTTCCTGACCCAAGAATTGAACCGGGGTCTCCTGCATTTCAGGAAACTTCCTACAAAAAAAAAAAGTGTGGAAACTTCTATACTCAGTCATGCTCAACTTGTTGATAATCTGAGAAAACAATCAGTTGGATTTATAAATTAAACTTCAAAGTCATAAGACCTAGAGACACATGATCTACTTTTGTTTACATCCTTAGTCAAATGGTGGATGTTCCAACTGATCTACAAAAAGTCAGCTTTTATCTAAGCTTGGAATGAAAAGACTTCCTTGAATATCAACTAATAGAAAAATGTCTAAACATTTGGAGCAAATATAATTCTTGTCTAAATAACACGAAGCCTGTATCACCTGTTCGGTATTTTCCGTTTCTGAAAGGAGAACTGACAGAAGCAGCTGGGGTGATGGGAAGTGGCCAAAGGAAATCTTTGTGGAGCCTCTTCAGGGCCAACACGAAGTTGTCTACTCGGGCAGCACGGGTACGCTCCCTGCACAGCCAACTAATGAGTTCAAAGCCCAACTGGGCTGCAAAGCAGCCGAGATCCTTTAGCCGAACTTCTTCTAAGAGACGCCGAGCGTGTCTCCAGAGCATCATATCAATATACATGTTCTCAGCACAGTCACTGTCTTTGCTCCATCTGTAAGTGGGAACACAAGTAAGCTACAGAACAATCTTCACATACTTCTTATGAAGTAGCCCTGAAAATTCTGACAAGGAGGTAAGAGATTTGAGGGAAGAGGAAGATCAAGTATCAGAGCTTCTCCATGCGATAGCACACCTGTTGAGCAATAGCTGGAACACAGAAAGCAGCCTCTTAAACATGTCTGTAAAATAAAAGTACAAAATAGAAAACAAACAGAAGACTGACAAAGCCAAACCAGGAAGAGGATAGTGACTGGATGAAGTAAAGAAAGGAAGCAAATAAATGCTGTATTTGAAAAGAGGGAAGGAGATCAGATCAAGAAGACTAAAGAGAAGCAAAGTGAAATGCAGTCTCTTAATGTGAGTTATAGACACATAAGAAAAAAACAGATTTTAAAAAATGAATGACTAAATATCGTCTATCATCCCTTACTCCTATGAACTGATGTGTCACCACTGGTTTTATACCAGGGTGATGGGGTGCCTTCAGAGAGCAGTACTGGAGCAGGACTACCTGCATTCTGAACTCGGCTCTGCCACACAGTTTTGCGAATATAAAGCAAGTTTATTTTTCTGGGCCTCTGTTTTTCACCTGTATAATGTGGATAATAACAGTATATTTACCCAAATGGAGCTGTTACTGAAAAACCTATACACGGAAATGTTTGAACTGTGCCTGGCGTGCAGTGAGCACTTAGTGTATATTAAACACCACTTGCATTCAGGGTACAGCTGAGTAGCTACTGTTTGCCTGGCAATTGTTTTATAGTCTTTCACAGGTGCATTTAACTTGTTTATGGTGTGTGTGTGTCTGAGTGTGTGTGTTGGAAATGCAGGTGTATTAATGGCTCTGATAAGAAAAAGCTGCAAAACATCACAATACAAATGTTCAGGAAGCTGTCATTCTGTGTCAGGCGCTCTAGTAAGAATATACATGGAATATAAAGAAAGGACTGGGGAGAGAAAGAAACCAAGAGCCAAGACCACATAACAACACAGGAAGGAACACAAGGACCTCCCCAAATAGGAAAATCTATTTTACAACGTTCAGCATGAGTTCAGAGCTACCCTTCAGGGCATTGTAACCCACCTACATGTAATGCAGGTTTCAGGCTCCAGGATACCCTTTTTTGGCATGAACTGTTTAATGACTTCTCCACTCAAAAGAGTCACAAGAGAGTCCAGTACATGAGGACTAAAATTTTCTTATGGTCAAAAGGTACACTGGGAAAGAAGGGGAAAACTGTTGACTATAAGAAGGCTTTTGAATTATTTGCAGATCTATCTTCCTTTTTATTCTGGTCCTCTATTAGAGGTAATTTAATGTTAGTCACATTTAGAATGGGCATATCAAGACCTATTCTAGTACAAAGGGCAAAAACTGTACAAAGAATAAAGAAGTGAATTTAGGAGAAAGAAAAAAGGGAAGCCTTTTGGGAATGTAAAAAGGAATTGCAATCGGATCAAATAGATTTTCCCTAAGATCCAGTTTTACAAATACTCTGAAATGGAATGTGTTATAGAATGCCCTAAAAGTAACAGTTCTTCATTCTTTTACCTTTTTCCAGAAGGACCAGATGGCATACTTAGTGTTTTCTGTAAGCTGAATTTACTAGCAGGAACGCTGTCAGCTGACTGGGATAAACTGATGCTTCGATTCCTGAAGAACTCAAATCCACCACCACTTGAACTGGGCTCCTGTGATCACACACAAGGTGCACAGTATGGTTAGAGGAGATGTCAAGTGGGTGTGTGGCCAAGCAAAGCTGTGCGATCCTTCCCCTAACCTGAGCTGTAGGTGTGGATGGGGGCGTCTCAGATTCTCCAGAGCCAATGGCTTTCAGAAATCGAATCATGTGTCGACACAGGTCCCACTTGCCTTGTTCCAGGGCTGTGTTGAAAAGAAGGGTGGCATGTTGCCTACTTACTGCTGGAACTTCCATGTTCTAGAAAAAAAACCAAGAATTCCTTTTATACTGCAAATGATTTGAGAAGATGTGAGTAATTCTCTATCTCCACACTTTCCTAAACCCAGACAAGTAATGCAGATATAGCACTGTAAGGAATAATTTACTAGTAAAATCAAAAGAAGCATTAAAAAGTACCATACAAGAAGAAGTGAGGCAAATATTTCCCTGGTGTAATATATGATTTCTTGCACTCCCATTAGTGCCAGATATCTTAAACTTTACATACATTCTTTCTTTTCATTGCTCCTAGTGACTCTCAAAAGAGGTATATCATTCTCATTTTACACATGAGAAAACTGAGTTAAACAACTTGTTGAAATTATGCATTTAAAACTTTTTAAAAATTGTAATTGCATGGCAATGCAGAGTGTACAAACAGAAGCACAGGATAAAAAGGTAAATAGTATCTCAGTATTAATATGAAAATTAGTTTGATTCTGAAGTCTTCCTGAATATGTCTAGGAAATCCCCAGAATTCTGTAGAGCACACATTGAGAATCCCCTGCCCTCAAGAGTGTTAGAAATCCAAAATGAAAGAAATCTGGTTGCCAAAAACAGGACGGTTAGATGAGAGAGAAATAAAAATATATGTTCTAAACAAAGAAAGAAATAACTTGTTGAAGATCAGCAGAAAAGCAGGAGTATAAATTTGTCTTTCTGACTCCAAAAAAGCTCTGGTCTATGTCCTGTGACAGAGCTTTCTGAGGATGTGACTTAATAAAAAACTCTGCTCTGGGCAACAGTATATATATATTGCTACACAATGGGCATCCACAGTGGTTCTTTCACAGATTTAATCTTGCTGCTTGCCCTGGTCTTCATGGAGAGGCGCCTAACAGGTAAGTTCAACTATAATTATTTATCTGTCAGTCACAACTTAGGAATCCTGATAAAGTTTCTAATTCCATTGCTTGGGAGATCACTGAAATCTAAGCAGTGGCCTAAATTAAACAAACAAACAAAAAAAAAACTGCATTTATCTTGTTTCTGTTTTTATGATTGCATGGCCTTTTAAGAATAGCCAGAATCTCAGGGCCACGCACCTTCTGCCACAATATCTTCTCTGACTTCAGTCAGCTGCCATGAAGCAAATAAGCTGACAGGAAAACTGCTTCAGGAAAAATCTCAAACCAGGTTTATGGTTAGCTTCTTTAAACAATAAAAACAACTCTGCGGTAATTTGAAAGAACTTTCACCTCTCAGCAATTCCACAGTACAAGGAGAGAAATTATTGTGGAGGGCTCAGATAAACCCACTAATATTCAAAATAATTATTTACTAGTATGTTTCTTATATAATATTTTGACAATCTTATGTAGTATGTGCATACTATTATGTATTATAATGCGTTATATGGATAAACATACATGGCTTCCCTGGTGGCTCAGACAGTAAAGAATCGGCCTGCAGTGTGGAAGACTTGAGTTCGATCCCTGAGTTGGGAAGATCCCCTGGAGGAGGGCATGGCAACCCACTCTAGTGTTCTTGCCTGGAGAATTCCCATGGACAGAGGAGCTTGGGCTATAGTCCATGGAGTCACAAAGAGTCCGACACAACTGAGTGACTAAGCACAGTGTATATACCTATATGTATACATAGAAGACACTCCTTTAATATTATTTAAAATAATACTGTAAACTCATTAATTTGTTTTTTTATGGGCAAACAGGATTTAAATAAAAAAACCAAACCTTGCAATGCTGCTTTTTAATAGTAATTTTCTGCCATCATATACTAAGACTGAGTTCTTCAAAAGTAAAGATAAAAACTGAACAGAAAACTTGACTCTAATAGTTCTTTTTTTTTTTATTTATTTGGCTGCACCAAGTCTCAGCTGCAGCACGTGGACTCTTTAGCTGCAGCATGCAGGATCTAGATCCCTGAGACAGGGACTGAACCCAGACCCCCTGCATTGGGCGCGTGGATTCTTAACCACTGGACCACCAGGGAAGTGCCTGTACTAGTTCTTTAATCACGATCACAGTGCCAACCAAGGACATTTGCTTTCTTTTTCCTCTAGGTTTATGCTCACTAATTCTTATACATTTACAAGAAGAGAATTGTTACCTGTAAGATAATAAGGTAAGACGCAGCAGTATCTAAATCCTGAGCCATCAAACATTCTTCAAACAAGTCCTTGGGGTTTCCAACAGCTGCAAACAGGTAGTTCCACAGGGCATACTCAGTCTTCCTGGCACAGTGAACAACTGTCTGCAGGAAGAGTGGGAACTCGGTGATAAATTTTGCCACCGTGGGAAGCAGAGGGTCGGGAATGGGCTCCCGTGAGGTAGCTTCTTCTTCCAGCACTTCATGGAGCATGAGCTCCAGCACGTGGGGAAAGTAAGGCAGCGCGGCACAGGACTGGGCTAAGAGCAGAGCTTGCTCCCCGAGGTTCCTCACCAGCAGCTGACGCAGAATGTGATGGAGGTAGATCTGAGAGGTTCTCTCCACAACACAGAAAGGGAAGAGCACCTCCAGCTGTTCCCTAGCACTGTTGCGAGAATACAGAGAATCGTAGAGCAGAGTGTCATTGACAGCACCAAGGACTAATGCATCTTCAAACAGAACAGCCAGGGGGTAGATATTTATGTGGAAAGGCAGCATGATCCGCTGGGACAAGAAGGAATGGGGCTTGCGGTGATCCCTGGGGAAAAGAGGGAGCCAGACTTTCATCCCGGCACCACCACAGCTCAGCCAGAGGGCCTCCAACAGGTGACGCTTCTGTTTATTTGCGCGACATGTGGTCCAGACATTTTCAACAGACTGGGCTAGTACAACAGGAGGACAGAATGGCAACTGGAGAAGAAGAGACTGAAATCAGTTCTTTTCCCATTTAATTTGTAGATGAAGTTTTCCTAGGTACTAGTTTCTCAAGGCTTTCAAAATGACAGTATAAATTCTGGGGAGAATTAGAAGAATCTGTTTAAAGTTAACAATACTGCCCTGCCTTTCAAAGTAAGTGTATTTAAATCTAAAAACAAAACAACCCCCCTCCCCCAAGGAACTTCACCAATTTATCCTGTTTTTCCATTAGAATTATTCCAAACAATAACACCTAACCAGTAACGTCTGGCATACAGAACATTTTATTATCATTTTAGGGTCTTATTCTCCACTTTTCACAGTCTTGCATCCAAAGGCTCACAACTAATTTTATACACTTTCTCAGTATCCAAATCACAAGACAATACTCTGCTCTTAAATTCTTTTATTCCCTCATCCTTCTCCCAGACATTCTTTACATTTTAAGTGACTCGCATTTAACTCACAAGTTTCCTTTGGTTAGGGTTGCTGTCCTTCTCTCGGATCTGAGGGCCGGACCTGTCCCTCTGCATCATGATGAGCTGTCCTGCCAGATTTAGCATAATGCTCTCTGCATCACGAGCCTGAAAGGAAAATAACTGGATTCATATGAATTAACAGGCATATTTTCAGCATCTCCCCCACCAAGGCATAATGCCTACAGGTTAAACAAACAATGCTGACTGTGTACTCCGGCCCGTCCTTCCGTTAGACGCTGTTGGAGTCACGGAGCTGTCTGGCTCCAGTAGCACAAGCGCAACACAATGCAATTAGTAATTAGTTAGTGAAAGAGTGAGATTCAGATTGATGGCAGAGTTGAATTACCCTGGAAAACTAAGAGACTTCCAGAATTTCATAAAAGTGAGACACTGCTTCAGTGACCTGGTTGGCATAGCTAGAGAAGGCTTAAGGATGAAGTGGGACTTGAAGGGTGAGGATGACATACATGGGTGGGAGAAAAACGTTTGGTATTTTAGTTGAAGAATGAAATATAAATGACACAAGAAGATAAAATAGTTCTACTGGGAAAGTGAGAATTATCTGGCTAGATTAGGGATATTACGAGAAAAAATACTGATGGTAATAGACTTTCAAGGAGGGCTTGGAAAGTCAAGTAAAAATGTATCAGGAAATAAGCCACTACTTATGGTCCTTGAATAAAAGAGTTATTAAAAATTCTGAGTTATTCAGGATGGATGACTGAGCGGAGGAAGATATCATGTGTGGTGACTTCAGAAATGAAGTAAACAGTCTGCGTTTTATTAAGGAAAATGTCAACCAAACCCTAAAGTAGAAAACGTAGGACTCCCAGCTAGGAGCACTGCTTTAAAGTTTATTTTCAGCTATCAAGTTATTTTCACTTGTAAAGAGGAAGAACATTTTGATTAAAACAAACCAAAAGCTTACTTGTATTCTAGACATGAAGGGTAAAAAAACAAAGCTAAGTCAAAGATGATTTCAGAGTGCTGAATCTAGGTGAGGTGCTAGAGAAGTTGTGGTCTTCATGGACAGAAGTTAGAAGGAGATAATAACTTAGGAAAGGGAATCTGAAGAGTTTCCTTTCAGTTCAGTTCAGTCGCTCAGTCCTGTCCGACTCTTTGCGACCCCATGAACCGCAGCACGCCATGCCTCCCTGTCCATCACCAACTCCTGGAGTTTACTCAGACTCATGTCCATTGAGTCGGTGATGCCATCCAACCATCTCATCCTCTGTTGTCCCCTTCTCCTCCTGCCCTCAATCTTTCCCAGCATCAGGGTCTTTTTAAATGAGTCAGCTCTTCACATCAGGTGGCCAAAGTATTGGACTTTCAGCTTCAACACCAGCCCTTCCAATGAACACCCAGGACTGATCTCCTTTAGGATGGACTAGCTGGATCTCCTTGCAGTCCAAGGGGCTCTCAAGAGTCTTCTCCAACACCACAGTTCAAAAGCATCAATTCCTCGGTGCTCAGCTTTATAGTCCACCTCTCACATCCATACATGACCACTGGAAAAACCATAGCCTTGACTAGACGGACCTTTGTTGACAAAGTAATGTCTCTGCTTTTTAATACGCTATCTAGGTTGGTCATAACTTTCCTTCCAAAGAGCAAGCGTCTTTTAATTTCATGGCTGCAGTCACCATCCACAGTGATTTTGGAGCCAAGAAAAATAAAGTCAGCCGCTGTTTCCCAATCTATTTGCCATGAAGTGATTCTTTCACTTTCATCAAGAGGCTCTTTAGTTCTTCTTCACTTTCTGCCATAAGGGTGGTGTCATCTGCATATCTGAGGTTACTGATATTTCTCCCGGCAATCTTGATTCCAGCTTGTGCTTCCTCCAGCCCAGTGTTTCTCATGATGTACTCTGCATATAAGTTCACTGCCCATTAAATTAGAAAGAATCTTAAGACTTCCAGATAAAAATGTGAGAGATGACTAACTGGAGATGAAAACCAGAATCACTGAACTATAATGGTAAGGCTAGTAAACTGAAGGAAACAGATGAATTTTCTGAAGCAAGGTATATGGGCGCAACAGAGCAGAGGGCTGCTGGCTAAGCTTTTGGAGGCAAGAAGAGAAACACAGCATGATGCCACTAACCAAAGAAGGAAAGAGTTTTAGGAAGGAAAGGATGATTATTAAGATGACATGGATTGTCTCCTAGCTTTGACTCCTGCTGGCTGGGTGAATTTAAGCTCCAATATCATTTAGGGTTCAGTCAGGAAAACAATGTATTCTACTTGAAAAAATAATCAGATATATGAAATGCTCATTTGTACCACTCTAAGACACAGGAGATTGTGTGTGAAGAAATGGCAGAAGGGTGCTGAATACTCATGGACTTTGTCACTCATTTTTGCTCTATATCATCCAGGTAGATAATAAGCATGTTAATTTAAAAAGCGGGAATTTGAATGCAAATTAGTACAGCCGCTATGGAAAACAGTGTGGAGATTTCTTAAAAAGCTGGAAATAGAACTGCCATATGACCCAGCAATCCCACTTCTGGGCATACACACCGAGGAAACCAGATCTGAAAGAGACACGTGCACCCCAATGTTCATCGCAGCACTGTTTATAATAGCCAGGACATGGAAGCAACCTAGATGCCCATCAGCAGATAAATGGATGAGGAAGCTGTGGTACATATACACCATGGAATATTACTCAGCCATTAAAAAGAATTCATTTGAATCAGTTCTAATGAGATGGATGAAACTGGAGCCCATTATACAGAGCGAAGTAAGCCAGAAAGATAAAGACCATTACAGTATACTAACACATATATATGGAATTTAGAAAGATGGTAACGATAACCCTATATGCAAAACAGAAAATGAGACTCCGATGTATAGAACAGACTTGTGGACTCTGGGAGAAGGCGAGGGTGGGATGTTTCAAGAGAACAGCATCGAAACACGTATATTATCTAGGGTGAAACAGATCACCAGCCCAGGTTGGGTGCATGAGACAAGTGCTCGGGCCTGGTGCACTGGGAAGACCCAGAGGGATCGGGTGGAGAGGGAGGTGGGAGGGGGGACCGGGATGGGGAATACATGTAAATCCATGGCTAATTCATTTCAATGTATGACAAAACCCACTGCAATGATGTAAAGTAATTAGCCTCCAACTAATAAAAATAAATGAAAAAAAATAAAACATTTGGTAGCACTATATGTAAGTTTTGAACAGAAAAACAAAGATAAAAAATAAAATATAGTGCACTTGCTAAAAAAAAAAATAATAAAATAAAAAGCGGGAATTTGAAAAATTACTCCCACAAAAATCTGTAAGCAACTGTCACAAAGCTGAAGAATTTTACTTGGAAATGAGTCTTCCGTTCCTGATTTAGCACATAAACTAAAAATCTGAACATCTGTCCATAACACATGAGAAACAGTAAATAACTTAAGAGTTAGGAGAAGGAATAATGGAATTGAAAAGCTGTGTGAGAATTAAAATAAATAGAGAGGAGAGGAAACCGAACATGCAATCCCAAGAATCAAACAGTATACTGTTTGGAGACTGGCATAGGGCTTCCCTGGTAGTTCAGATGGTCTAAGAATCTGCCTGCAATGCAGGAGACACAGGTTCAATCCCTGGGTTGGGAAGATTACCTAGAGAAGGGAATAGCAATCCACTCCAGCATTCTTGCCTGGAGAATTCCATGGACAGAGGAGCCTGATGAGCTACAGTCCATGGGGTAATGGAATCAGACATGACTGAGTGACTAACACACACACTCCCACAGTGAGAAACTCCTCAAATACTTCCAAAGACCCGAAGAACATTCACTGCAGTTCTCTAAAATATGTTAATGTTCATAATGACCACTTTTAAGTTTTCAGATAGTAAATTCACCACTGTATTTTATACTATTTCATTAAAAACAAACAAACAAACAGGGCTTCCCTGGTGACTCAGTGGTAAAAACTTTGCTTGCCAATGCAAGACATGGGTTCAATCTCTGGTCTGGGAAGATCCCACATGCCCCACACAGCAACCGAGCCTGTGCTCTAGAACCTGGGAGCTGCATCTACTGAAGCCCACACACCCTAGAGCCAGTGCTCTGCAACGAGACAAGCCATCGCACCGAGGAGCCTGTGCACTGCAATTAGAGTAGTCCCGCCTGCCACAGCCAGAGAAAGGTCTGCTCAGCAATGAACAACCAGCACAGAAAAACCCCACAAAATTCTCTATTTTTCCCTTCAGCTCTAGCCACGCAGTCAACATTTTTTACTGATAATATCATAGTACATAAGGACAGGTGACCATTACAGCCCTCTCAGGCAACTTTGATGAACTTTTCAGAAACTGAGTGTAACACAAAAGCTGGGACCACATGTATCCTCAAGGTCCTAAATCTGAAGGAACCCAACAAACCATCTCTTACCCTAAAAAATTCCTGGTAGGTAATTCTCATTGGAGCTTCAGACAAGGAGCTCACCTGTCTCCTGAGGGAGGCCACCTTACTGTTGAACAGTTCTCACTGCTGGTTTTTTGTTGTTAAATCAAGACTTGCTTTGCTTTTTAAACCTTGGCCTTCTCTCTGTGCAAGATGTAATCTATTTCCTCTTATCTTTCAACTTCTTATTCTGCTCTTTACAAAGTTAAGTATCTCCTCTTTGTAAAAGGGCCTCTTAATTAAAATGGGGCACCCAGTGTTATTCATCTTCTGACTGCCTACTCTATCTAGAATATTCAAGAAGCTTTTTCTTTAATATGACTTCAAACATGATAAAAAGTACATAAAATGTACACCACCCTATTTTATTCTCATTATTCAGACTGACAATTACCAAGGTTTGTTTCACCTATCCCTTTTCTCTTTTTATTAATACTTACTTTGCCAACGTATTTTACAGGATGATATCATGCCACTTTACTCCTATATATTTAATAGGCATCTCTCAAATATACGGACATTTGATTATATAATTACAATGCTAACATCACATCTAAATTTAATAAAATTTAGAACTATTTCTCAGTGTCAACTCTCAGTCAACATCGCTAATTGTTTTAACAGTGTCTTTTTGTAGTCTATTTGAATCAAGATACAAATGACCTTATGCATTGCATTTTGTTGTCATAGCTCTAAAGCCTTATTTAGAAGACTCTTCTTTTTTCGTCCGCATTAATGACTTGCAGTTTTCCTATAGAATGTTATTAAACTAAACCTCTATCCCTGTATTTTCGATGAAGAGAAGATGACTTGAGAAGCTTGATTCAGTTCAGGCTCAGTGCTTTTGGCAGTAATTCCTCATGTGAACCTCAGGCTGCATCACCCCAGGAAGCATGCATGGTTCTCCTACTTTTAGTGCTGCTAAGATTGACTAATAACGCTTAGGCATGACAACTTCACTGTGAAGTTCCCATCGACCATTCATTGGTTTCAACCGGTGGTCACTGAATCCACTCATTTTTTCAAAGGCTGCAAAACTGATTCTTAATTCTCAAATTCCTTCCATATCTTTTAGCTAGAGATCTTCTGTAAAACATTCCTTTTTTTTATTAACTAGGACTATCTGGTTACATGAAATATGAGTTTGCAGAGAAAATGGAACCTGTATTTTAAAGGCAGTCAGTGGAAGTGCCTTAATAGGAAGTTTTAAGACTAGACAGACAGGGATGACAAGTAAATCCACACAGAACTTTTCTCTGAAGATGGGTTCCACATTGACATGAAGTTGCATAAGTTATGCAACCTGGTCCTGGTGGCAACGCTACCTACACAGTTACTTTAACCAGAAACTATGGGGGTATCCCTTCTCTTTGCTCACAATTAACTAATCATGGAGTCCTCTATATGTCATATTCCTTCTACTTATTTCTATCTTCTTTTCATTACCCAAGTTTGGACCACAAAAACCATTCACCTAGATCATTGCAATGGCCTCTTAGCTGCTCTCCCTTCATCCAGTATTGTCCAAGTCTGGTTCATTTTCCTCCTTTGTAATGTTTTCTCTAATATTACAAAGCTTAGATCTAATAATTTCTAGCTTAAAACACTTTAGACTTTAAGACAAAGTCCATAGTATCAATAAGATTCTCATACTCTATGTTCCAGTCACTGTGAAATTTCTTCTAATTCCCTGAATGTGTCATGTTCTCTCTTATCTACAGGCCTTTGAACTGTTCCCTCTGACTGAAATTCCTCTTTACTTAGATAAACACCACTTATTCTTCAGGTTTCAATTTAAATGATAGAGAAACCATATGTGATTGCTTAGACTACTCCAGGCTTTCCTTACACACAGTATAACTTTTATACACAGTATAACATTATAACACAGTATCACTTTCTGGTATACACAGTAACCTGTATTACTTTTTGGTATACACATCACATTTATAATTAATTATCTATGTAATTATTTCTTTCCAGTAGTAGCAAAAACCATGTTTGTTTAGTTGGCACTGTAACCCAGCATCTTCATACAAGGCAAATTCTACATATTTAGTATGTATTTTCTGAACAAATGAATAGTTCCTAATATCAAATTAAAACACAAAGAACTGAAAACTGTAAAGAGCTCTGATAACAGAATGGTACCTGCTGTGGCATCTTCAAGGTGATTCCATTCTCTGTACTCACTGATGTCAGAGTGACAGATACCACCAGGAAAGGGTGCGGAATGTAGCGTGACATGGATACTTCCTGAAGAACCTGAATACCAGCAGTATTTGGACTGTAAAAGAGAAAGAAACAATATACCTCAACAATTCTAATGAGGTTTTTTTCCCCTCCCCATTTCTACTACAAATAGTATGAGAGTTTATGTTTATAGGGGCCCCAAATACTTTCTACCTACCATTTCCACCTCCCCAGGTATCCTTTAAACAGCAGACTGACAAGGCTGTGGCACCCAAGAACACAAATGGAGATAAGGGGAGGGAAAAAAGGAGAGTAAGACATAGAAAGAAAAAAGAAATTGGGAAGAACGTTACAGGAATAGCTTCGTCAGCTGAGATGTAGTTGGCTGAGGAAGGAAATGGGTTCTATCTAAGGTGATCTGCTAATTTTTATCTTTATAAAAGAGATCCTCAATTACTAAGCTACTTCAGCAAACACACACTTCATAGCTTTTTTATAAAAAGAAAACAAAATAAAACTCGACAAGTGTGGTCTAAATGCTGCAAGTTGGCCAGAAGCAAAGAAGAGTATGAGCAACACACACAAACAGCAAGAAGACGGTCGGTTTTTCCTTTACCAGACTTCAGCCACCTAGGCCAGTGAAAATGTACAAGAGTCTGCTAAGGCCATGCTTCCTAAGCCCCTGAAGCTGTAGAAACACTATAAATTTCCCCAAGTTTCTAGAACACTAGGATAATTAGTAACAACCTGTTATCAAGATGTGTAAAAAAAAATTAATATTTAAAATTTTACCCCATCTCAAACTAGTTTTTTTTTTTTTCCCTCAAATGAGTCCAGTAAGATTAGCTGAAAAAATTGGTAAAGCTTTATAATTTCCTTTGGTAGCTAAAAGATAACTACCATATGAAGATCACTAATTAAAATTCCTTGCTTTATGAAACTCCTAAAACAAAGGAAACCAAATATAAAATTAGAGTAACTGTTTTGAGAAATAAAACTACAGAGGAAGCATGATAAATAAGAGCAAAAAATGATTCTGTATATTTTATATACTTACCCATCAGATTTTCTTTCAATACTATAAAGGCATATTGAACAGTCTGCTCGAAAAACTATTACCATGTCCCGGAAAACACTAAGCAGTAATGTTTCTGCTTGTGTTTTGGTGACATAAGCAAAAGCATTGTCCAGATTTGAGGTTCGCAAATACACTCTGAGCTGTAGAAAATAAAAATAAAGACAACTGTAAAAAGAAGATACCTACCATGGATGACTAAATAGACATACTGTTTTTTAATCTACTGTTTTGCAAGTAAAAGGAGCTAAAGACTAATCTGAGCATTCATAATAAATGGATATTTCTATTTTGACAAAGTAGGCTCATTCTACAAATAACTAAAAGATGAGTGATCAAAACTGTGATGTACTATTATGAGATACGCCTTTTAGACCTGCACATTTAGACATGACATCAGGAGGTGTAGTTTCTCAAAAAATAAATATATCAAATCAATCAATATACCTCTAAGGATAGACATTCTTATAAACTTTTAACTATTTTTTTATTGGTTACAAACTTTATAGAGAATGGCTAAAATCATTAGAAAAAGTAATCCTGGGAGTCCTGATTATTCCTTTAATTTTTTTTTAAACAGTAACTTGAAATGAAAATACTATTAGCTAAAAATGTGGAATTTTTGATTAAAAGGAAAATGTCTCATTCATTTCCAATAGGTTATTTGTATATAGATTAAACGATGCTTGCTAGAGGAGGAGCTAAGATGGCGGAGGAATAGGACGGGGAGACCACTTTCTCCCCTACAAATTCATCGAAAGAACATTTGAACGCTGAGCAAACTTCACAAAACAACTTCTGATGGCTAGCAGAGGACATGAGGTGCCCAGAAAAGCAGCCCATCATCTTCAAAAGGAGGTAGGACAAAATATACGATAAAAAGAGAGACAAAAGAGCTAGGGATGGAGACCCGTCCCGGGAAGGGAGTCGTAATAGAGGAAGTTTCCAAACACCAGGAAACCCTCTCAATGGCGGGTCTGGGGGAAGTTTTCGAATCTCGGAGGGCAACCTAACTGGGAGGAAAAATAAAAATAAAACTCACAGATTACATGCCTAAAAGCAACTCACAGCAGAAAAGTACCCCAGACGCCCACATCCGCCACCAGCAAGTGCGGAACAGAGAGGAGTGGGCCCTATTGCTTAGGGTAAGGACCAGGCCTGAATGCCCTGAGGGCAATCCGAGGGAGCTAATATGAGATAGCAACTTAAAACTGTGGGATAGCAAGAGAGAGAGAGAAAATTAACTGGCCCGAAAACACTGTGGCCATTCGCAGAACAAAGGAAGAACTGAGCGATCCCAGAGAAGAGCTAGCTGGCGGCGGACCAGGCCTGAGGCAGGAGGCAGGGGGGAAGGGAAAGGGGCAAACTCAGCCCCAGAGAGGGCACCCCCTACCAAACTGCAAATAGGCTTCCAGCTTCTAACCAAAGACTTCCTGAGATTCTAGATGGTTGACATCTGCCTGGAGGGTCGCGGCTAGAGACCAGCTCCGGAGAATAGACACAAGGCGCATGCACCCGACTGGCGAGGGTGGAAACTGAGGCTGGGACTGCGAAGGGGAGAAGGCGCACCGCACCCAGGGAGAGTGCACCCGTCAAGCTCCTGGCTGCCTGAGCTGCTCGGGCGGGGAAGGCACAAAACGCAGGCCCAACCGAGTCCCTGCTTTTGTGGAATACCCAAAAACTGGAACCACACACAACGCAGGGCCTGCTCCCTATAGAGCAGCCTGGAGCCTGAGCAGTGTAGATGGGGGAAGCACACATGCTCACCGTGAGCGGGGTCAAACCCAGTGTGGCCAGAACACTGCGAGTGCTCCCCACACACGCCAGTGACATTTGTCTGCAGCGCCCCTCCCTTCCAACAGCACAATTGAACAAGCGAACCTAAACAAGAGACCACCTCTGCGCGCTTGTGTCAGGGCGGAAATTAGACACTGAAGAGACCAGCAAACAGAAGCCAAATAAACAAAGGGAATCACTTCAGAAGTGACCGGTAAAACAGATTAAAATACCTGTAGGTAACACCAACTACATCGGAAGGGGCCTATAGATATCGAGAAGTGTAAGCTGGAACATGGAGCTATCTGAAACTGAACCGAACCCACACTGCCCACAACAGCTCCAGAGAAATTCCTAGATATATTTTGACTTTTTTTTTCTTTTTTTCTTTTTTCTCTTTTATTTTCTTTTAAAATTCCCTATTACTCCTCTATTACTCCTTAGCTTTCATTTTCATATATTTTTACTATTTTTTTAATTAAAAAATTTTTTTTCTTTTTTCTCTTATTTTCTTCTAAAGTCCTCTATTACTCCTTAATTTTTTTTCCATTTATTTTTATTAGTTGGAGGCTAATTACTTTACAGTATTGTAGTGGTTTTTGCCATACATTGACATGAATCAGCCATGGATTTACATGTTTTCCCCATCCCAATCCCCCCTCCCACCTCCCTCTCCACCTGATCCCTCTGGGTCTTCCCAGTGCACCAGCCCTGAGCACTGTCTCATGCATCCAACCTGGGCTGGTGATCTGTTTCACCCTTGATAATATACATGTGCATTTTCATTTCACTATAACCTTGCAAAAAAAAAAAAAAGAGGCCCTATTTTTAAACTGAACTTCATATATATTTCTTAAATTTTTTGTGGTTTTGTTTTTATATTGTATTTTTTAAGAGTCTAACCTCTACTCTAGATTTTTAATCTTTGTTTTTCAGTATTTGATATCAATTTTGGACATTTAAGAATCAAATATTCAGTACCCATTTTTATTCAGGAGTGTGTTGATTATTCTCTCCCACTTTTGACTCTCCATTTTCTCCCTCAGATCACCTCTATTTCCTCCCTCACCCTTCTCTTCCCAATCCAATTCTGTGAATCTCTGTGGGTGTCTGGGCATCGGAGAACACTTAGGGAACAGAGAACTGCGTAGATCTGTCTCCTCCTCTTGAGTCCCCCTTTTTCTCTGCCTGCTCATCTCTATCTCCCTCCTCCCTCTCCTCTTCTTCATGTAACTCTGTGAACCTCTCTGGGTGTCCCTCATGGTGGAGAATCTTTTCACCATTAACCCAGAAATTTTATTATCAGTGCTGTATAGTTGGAGAAGTCTTGAGGCTACTGTAAGAATAAGACTGAAATCCAGAGGCAGGAGACTTAAGCCCAAAACCTGAGAATACCAGAAAACTCCTGACTACAGGGAACATTAAGTAATAAGAGATCATCCAAAAGCCTCCATACCTCCACTGAAACCAACCACCACCTAAGAGCCAATAAGTTCCAGAGCAAGACATACCACACAAATTCTCCAGCAACGCAGGAACACAGCCATGAGCGTCAACATACAGGCTGCCCAAAGTCACACCTGACACATAGACCCATCTCAGAACTCACTACTGGACACTCCATTGCACTCCAGAGAGAAGAAATCCAGTTCCACGCACCAGAACACTGACACAAGCTTCCCTAACCAGGAAACCTTGACAAGCCAATCGTCTAACCCCACCCACGGGGAGAAACCTCCACAATAAAAAGGAACCACAGACCACCAGAATACAGAAAGGCCACTCAAGACACAGCAATCTAAACAAGATGAAAAGGCAGAGAAATACCCAGCAGGTAAAGGAACATGAAAAATGCCCACCAAGTCAAACAAAAGAGGAGATAGGGAATCTACCTGAAAAAGAATTTAGAATAATGATAATAAAAATGATCCAAAATCTTGAAAACAAAATGGAGTTACAGATAAATAGCCTGGAGACAAAGATTGAGAAGATGCAAGAAATGTTTAATAAAGACCTAGAAGAAATAAAAAAGTCAATTAAAAATGAATAATGCAATAAATGAGATCAAAAACATTCTGGAGGGAACCAACAGTAGAAAAACGGAGACAGAAGATAGGATAAGTGAGATAGAAGATAAAATGGTGGAAATAAATGAAGCAGAGAGGAAAAAAGAAAAAAGAATCAAAAGAAATGAGGACAACTTCAGGGACCTCTGGGACAATGTGAAACGACCCAACATTCGAATTATAGGAGTCCCAGAAGAAGAAGACAAAAAGAAAGGCCATGAGAAAATACTCCAGGAGATAATAGCTGAAAACTTCCCTAAAATGGGGAAGGAAATAGTCACACAGGTCCAAGAAACCCAGAGAGTCCCAAACAGGATAAACCCAAGGCGAAACACCCCAAGACACATATTAATCAAATTAACAAAGATCAAACACAAAGAACAAATATTAAAAGCAGCAAGGGAGAAACAACAAATAACACACAAAGGGATTCCCATAAGAACAACAGCTGATCTATCAATAGAAACCCTTCAGGCCAGAAGGGAATGGCAGGACATACTTAAAGTAATGAAAGAGAATAACCTACAACCTAGATTACTCTACCCAGCAAGGATCTCATTCAGATCTGAAGGAGAATTCAAAAGCTTTACAGACAAGCAAAAGCTGAGAGACTTCAGCACCACCAAGCCAGCTCTTCAACAAATACTAAAGGATCTTCTCTAGACAGGAAACACAGAAAGGCTGTAAAAGGTGAACCCAAAACAACAAAGTGACAACGGGACCATACCTATCAATAATTACCTTAAATATAAATGGGTTGATGCTCAAACCAAAAGACAAAGACTGGCTGAATGGATACAAAAACAAGACCCCTATATATGCTATCTACAAGAGACCCACCTCAAAACAAGGGACACATACAGACTGAAAGTGAAGGGCTGGAAAAAAATATTTCACGCAAACGGAGACCAAAAGAAAGTAGGAGTCACAATACTCATATCAGATAAAATAGACTTTAAAATAAAGGCTGTGAAGAGAGACAAAGAAGGACACTACATAATGATCAAAGGATCAATCCAAGAAGAAGATATAACAATTATAAATATATATGCACCCAACATAGGAGCACCACAATATGTAAGGCAAATGCTAACAAGTATGAAAGGGGAAATTAATAGTAACACAATAATAGTGGGAGACTTTAATACCCCACTCAAAACTGTGGATAGATCAACTAAACAGAAAATTAACAAGGAAACACAAACTTTATATGACACAATGGACCAGCTAGACCTAATTGATATCTATAGGACATTTCACCCCAAAACAATCAACTTCACCTTCTTCTCAAGTGCACACGGAACCTTCTCCAGAATAGATCACATCCTGGGCCATAAATCTAGCCTTGGGAAATTCAAAAAAATTGAAAACATCCCAGTCATCTTTTCTGACCACAGTGCAGTAAGATTAAATCTCAATTACAGGAAAAAAATTATTAAATATTCAAACATATGGAGGCTAAATAACACACTTCTGAATAACCAACAAATCAGAGAAGAAATCAAAAAAGAAATAAAAATATGCATAGAAACAAATGAAAATGAAAACACAACAACCCAAAACCTATGGGAAACAGTAAAAGCAGTGCTAAGGGGAAGGTTCATAACATTACAGGCTTACCTCAAGAAACAAGAAAAAAGTCAAATAAATAACCTAACTCTACACCTAAAGCAATTAGAGAAGGAAGAAATGAAGAACCCCAGGGTTAGTAGAAGGAAAGAAATCTTAAAAATTAGGGCAGAAATAAATGCAAAAGAAACTAAAGAGACCATAGCAAAAATCAACAAAGCTAAAAGCTGGTTTTTTGAAAAAATATACAAAATTGACAAACCGTTAGCAAGACTCATTAAGAAACAAAGGGAGAAGAAGCAAATTAACAAAATTAGAAATGAAAATGGAGAGATCACAATAGACAACACAGAAATACAAAGGATCATAAGAGACTACTACCAGCAGCTCTATGCCAATAAAATGGACAACTTGGATGAAATGGACAAGTTCTTAGAAAAGTATAACTTTCCAAAACTGAACCAGAAAGAAACAGAAGATCTTAACAAACCCATCACAAGCAAGGAAATCAAAACTGTAATCAGAAATCTTCCAGCAAACAAAAGCCCAGGACCAGATGGCTTCACAGCTGAATTCTACCAAAAATTTAGAGAAGAGCTAACACCTATCTTACTCAAACTCTTCCAGAAAATTGTAGAAGGTAAACTTCCAAACTCATTCTATGAGGCCACCATCACCCTAATTCCAAAACCAGACAAAGATGCCACAAAAAAACTACAGGCCAATATCACTGATGAACATAGATGCAAAAATCCTCAACAAAATTCTAGCAAACAGAATCTAACAACATATTAAAAAAAATCATACATCATGACCAAGTGGGCTTTATCCCAGGAATGCAAGGATTCTTTAATATCTGCAAATCAATCAATGTAATACACCACATTAACAAATTGAAAGATAAAAACCATATGATTATCTCAAAAGATGCAGAAAAAGCCACTGACAAAATTCAATTGATTAAAACTCTCCAGAAAGCAGGAATGGAAGGAACATAGCTCAACATAATAAAAGCTATATATGACAAACCCACAGCAAGCATTACCCTCAATGGTGAAAAATCGAAAGCATTTCCCCTAAAATCAGGAACAAGACAAGGGTGCCCACTCTCACCACTTCTATTCAACATAGTTTTGGAAGTGTTGGCCACAGCAATCAGAGCAGAAAAAGAAATAAAAGGAATCCAGATAGGAAAAGAAGAAATGAAACTCTCACTGTTTGCAGATGACATGATCCTCTACATAGAAAACCTTAAAGACTCTACCAGAAAATTACTAGAGCTAATTAATGAATATAGTAAAGTTGCAGGATACAAAATTAACACACAGAAATCTCTTGCATTCCTATACACTAACAATGAGAAAACAGAAAGAGAAATTAAGGAAACAATACCATTCACCATGGCAACAAAAAGAATAAAATACTTAGGAGTATATCTACCTAAAGAAACAAAAGACCTATACATAGAAAACTATAAAACACTGATGAAAGAAATCAAAGAGGACACAAACAGATGGAGAAATATACCGTGTTCATGGATTGGAAGAATATAGATCAATGGAACAAAGTAGAAAGCCCAGAGATAAATCCACGTACCTATGGACACCTTATCTTTGACAAAGGAGGCAAGGATATTCAATGCAAAAAAGACGACCTCTTTAACAAGTGGTGCTGGAAAAACTGGTCAACCACTTGTAAAAGAATGAAACTAGAACACTTTCTAACACCATACACAAAAATAAACCCAAAATGATTAAAGATCTAAATGTAAGGCCAGAAACTCTACAACTCCTAGAGGAGAACATAGGCAAAACACTCTCCGACATAAATCACAGCAGGATCCTCTATGACCCACCTCCCAGAATACTGGAAATTAAAGCAAAACTAAACAAATGGGACCTAATGAAACTTAAAAGCTCTTGCACAACAAAGGAAACTATAAGCAAGGTGAAAAAACAGCCCTCAGATTGGGAGAACATAATAGCAAACGAAGCAACAAAGGATTAATCTCAAAAATATACAAGCAACTCCTGCAGCTCAATTCCAGAAAAATGACCCAATCAAAAAATGGGCCAAAGAACTAAACAGACATTTATTTCTCCAAAGAAGACATACAGATGGCTAACAAACACATGAAAAGATGGTCAACATCACTCATTATCAGAGAAATGCAAATCAAACCCACAATGAGGTACCATTAGACGCCAGTCAGGATGGCTGCTATCCAAAAGTCTACAAGCAATAAATGCTGGAGAGGGTGTGGAGAAAAGGGAACCCTCTTACACTATTGGTGGGAATGCAAATTAGTACAGCTGCTACAGAGAACAGTGTGGAGATTTCTTAAAAAACTGGAAATAGAACTGCCATATGACCCAGCAATCCCACTCCTGGGCATACACACAGAGGAAACCAGATCTGAAAGAGACATGTGCACCCCAATGTTCATCGCAGCACTGTTTATAATAGCCAAGACATGGAAGCAACCTAGATGCCCATCAGCAGATGAATGGATAAGGAAGCTGTGGTACATATACACCATGGAATATTACTCAGCCGTTAAAAAGAATACATTTGAATCAGTTCTAATGAGATGGATGAAACTGGAGCCCATCATACAGAGTGAAGTAAGCCAGAAAGATAAAGACCAATACAGTATACTAACGCATATATATGGAATTTAGAAAGATGGTAACGATAACCCTATATGCAAAACAGAAAAAGAGACACAGATGTACAGAATAGACTTTTGGACTCTGTGGGAGAAGGCGAGGGTGGGATGTTCTGAGAGAATAGCATTGAAACAAGTATACTATCAAGGGTGAAACAGATCTCCAGCCCAGGTTGGATGCATGAGACAAGTGCTCAGGGCTGGTGCACTGGGAAGACCCAGAGGGATGGGGTGGGGAGGGAGGCGGGAGGGGGGATCAGGATGGGGAACATATGTAAATCCATGGCTGATTCATGTCAATGTATGGCAAAAACCACTACAATACTGTAAAGTAATTAGCCTCCAACTAATAAAAATAAATGGAAAAAAAATAAAACAACGCTTGTGAAAGTGAAAAGTGTTAGTCACTCAGTTGTGTCTCTTTGTTACCCCATGGACTGTAGCCTGCCTCTGTCCATGCGATTTCCAGGCAAGAATAGTGGAGTGGGTTGTCATTTCCTTTTCCAGGGGATCTTTGGCAGGCAGATAATTTACTGTCTGAGCCACCTGGAAAGCCCTTAAATAATGCTTAATATTTTAAGCATTTTTAAAATATAAAAATCTATTATTTCTGAGAGAACAAAAACATACCTCTTCTTGACGATCACTTATGTTATAACATGCAAGGACAATAAAATCATTCCACCAGGCTAAGCCACCTGTCACAATCATATTCTGCTCCTTAAAAAAAAAAAAAAAAAAATATATATATATATATACATTTATTCTTGCCAGTAATACATTTGTAAAATATTCCTAATCAGACAATGAAAGCTCTAATTATTTCTGCTCTACTCTCTATTCCTCCCTCCCCACAACATAAAGTGTTACTCGAGGGCCTTTATTAATAATGATTCAGATCCTATTTTGAAAAAAATGTGTATTTCTGTAAGACAGAAAATACATCATTCAAAGTCACTGGGAACCATGTAGCATCATTATTCCACATTCAGTACATCTTGGTTTACATTCTGGCTTTATCGTTTACCAGCTGCCTGACTCTGAATCCTACATAAAATGGTAATAGCAGTGCCCTCACTGGGTTGTTATTAAGATCAGTGAGATATATGAAAAGTGCCTGGTACATAGCAGGCACTGAGTAAATGTCAACTTTCTTTTCTTTTCCTCCTATTTGATTCTTGCAAAATCCAAATGCACATTTGTATGCTACCCAGATGTTTATATTGTACACAGACAAGCAGGGAACAACCTCAAATTTGTGGAGATTTATTCCAATCATATCTGATGAACTCTACCTGAAATGGAAGAGTAAATTTTCAATTACAGGATTAGCGTCTGATCTTAACAAGAATTAAAAACAAACTATCTATCTCAACGGACATGAACTTGGGTGAACTCCAGGTGATGGTAAGGGACAGCGGGGCCTGGCATGCTGCAGTCCAAGGGGCTGCAAAGAGTTGGACACAACTTAGCAACTGAACAACAACTATCTCAATACAAAATCCATTATCAAATACCAAGTACCTTATCAGAACTGACCCTTGGACACAATTCAGTCATTTTGTAATGTCTTGATTTTACTTCTTAGTAAGTAAGCAGTGGTTTACTCTATACTTAATTCATATTGTAGTTCTCCCACACTTTGAGAAATAGGTTTTTAATTTCAAAAAGACTAACCTGGGTAATGTTTCCAAAAAGCTTCCATTTTTTGGTGAGTAAAGAGTAATGTGCAAAACCAAACTTGCCAACAACAGCAATATTCTGGCCAAGTTTATCAATAGCTGAAAACTGAATTAAAAAAAATTAAGATCTCTTCCTTGAATTTTTTATTTAGACATAAGAGCTAAGGATTATGTCAGGACGGCAGACTATTAATAAACATTTGTGAATTAAATATAAAATGCTAAATTCAAAACTCATATTTAAACTATATTTAACAAAATTATAGATTTACACTAACAATGTACAAGGAATCAAGCACTGAAACTTCTATCAATGCACCCACTGAAAGGCTCAATCCCCAGAATACCTCTTGCAGCACATGCCATCCAATGAAAGTTAACACCAACAAAGTAACAAATAACTCACCCGTATAGGCCAATTGCTCTCTAGATAGGTGCTGGAAATCTAGGAAATAACACATCAGTTTGTAAGACTTTTGAAATGTTTACTATATTTAAATGTAAAGCATTAGCATCATAATATGAGATTAATTTTCCTGTAATGTTTAAAGTGCTCCCAAATAATGAGTATTACTAGCAGCCAATATTGCATATCTCCTGTCTCATCCATTTCATTATACGTTTCTAGACATCAGGCTTTCCTCTTTTTTCTCTATACTGTTTTTGTTTGTTTTAAATATTGAACACTCAATAAATAACATAATGACAAAAGATATTTAGAGAAGCATCTACAATGGTAGCCAAGAACTGTGTAGATGAACAGTCTGGTTTTGCTGTGATATGAACCATCCCTAAAATCTTATCTAATAAAATCAGAGCCTCAGCAAGAGTTTTTTTTTTTAAATAGAACTCTCTTTCTTATTTTTATATTTTTCTGATTAAAAAATCAATGCATGCTTATAAATTTTAAACAAAATATAAGTACACAAAGTACAAACTGAAATTCTTCTCTTACATCACTGCTCAAGGGAAACAACTGGTTAGTTTTTATTCTGTCTCTAAACAGCCATGTACACGTAAGAGTGTGTATAAGTCATGGCTATTTATTCACCTATAAGTACTTTTAATATATTACAGATATGAACTCTACATCTGCAGCATCAACAACAGATTATTTTTCCATGCTGTCTGTCTCGGTTTTGTACATGATGTCATTTTATTACTCTAATGAGAATTTTAAACTTAGAAAATCCTCTGTGAGATATCAATGCAGATTAAGTCAAGTCTAGCTTTATTGAAACTGACCTTTCTTAGTCTGCTGATTAAATAATTTCATGAGCACATGGTGAATGAAGGGTGAAAGTTAACAGAACAACAGAACAAAGGAAAAATCTTCTGTTCCGGAATAACTACAGAACCTTCAATTTATTTATTTGCCTTTTACTCAAATAAAAATTATTACACATTTAAAAAAGGAAAGCCAAATGAAAAAGCCAAGTAAATGCAATCAAAGCCAATAAGCTTCTTTGTGTAATGTGAAGATGAAACCAAAGTCAAGCAAAAAAAACCCCAAAAACTCTGAAAACATCTGTATTAATCTTGATAAAATTTATTCATAAAACTATTTTTGTTAGACTTCACTTACTATCCAGTTAGTCAACCTAAAATCTAAATAAATTAATAGCTTTTAGTACATTAGGAAGTTCTTAACCCCAGAAGTGCTGATGTGTGGATGCCTACCTTACAGAATTAAATGATAGATATACTTGAAGAATGCTTAACTTGTATCTTAACAGATATGCTGTACCATTCAGGCCAACAAGTAAAATTCATTATGATGGGTGAAATTAGTTCAGAATAATGATAATCTGAGGTAATGATCAGGTGGCAAAGTAAAATTTGAAAGTAGTTTTGTAGCTATAAGTGAAATTCTTTTTTTGAAGGAAGAAAATAAAAATAGTCACTTGATGAAGGATGTTCCTGGAGTACAACTGAGCTAGCACTCAAGACACTGAAAAAACAAACAAACAAACAAAATGCCCCACTTCCCCCAAACCTTGGTATTTCATAGTATTTATGAAATGTGAGTGGGTAAAGTGGGAAGTGAGATCTCACTGCCAAAGTGGATTCCAACATGAAGAGTTTCTAATCACAGGAACCAAGGTTAAATCTTATCATTTGATCAGACTCTGATGAATATCTAAGAGAAAACAATTTATTCTTCTATCCTCCAAAAGTGTATGAGATGCCACAAATGGCAAATGGTTTGCTTTCAAAACTTACATTGAAGCTTTATTTATACAGTTTTATGTCTTGAAGATGCTATGAAATAAGAACAAAAAATTTTCCCCAAGAGATCTACATATTACCTGAACTTCTGAGTTCCACCCCTCATACTGAGAACAGAAAATGGCAAAACTAAAAAAAGAGGTGGCTAATGAATGACGAAGAAAACTCAGGTCAGGACTGCATACTCAGGGCACAAAAGTCATGTTACACCACTGGGATCCAGTGCTAAGCTACAGAATCTCTACTCTTAACAACTTAGGATTTTTCCATCTCTCGTAGAACCTAAATCTACCTTTTTTCCTTTAAAGTCATTCTGCTAAAACCCTGTCTCCTCCTCAGATTTACTTCTGTCTATATCTGGTGAGACTGTGAAAAAACCATCATCCTAGGAGATCTGATCTGTGCCAAATACCTGGAACAGTTGATTCACACTGTAGGAATGACAGCAAATCATTTATAAATTAAATAGCCTTTACAATATAAAATTTATAAATTTGTAAATTACATGGCAATTTATAAATTATAATAGCCTTTGCTGACCTCCCTAACAAAGTGCCTGATACATTACCCTGCTTCTGACAAGTATGCATTTGTGTTATTTTTGTTAAAGGAGAAAACATAATTAACAAAGAATCTTCTGACCAGGAAACTAATGAGTATAAGGTAGAAAGCTTAAACAAACAAACAAAAAACCTAGGAATCTAGATGGGGAACAGACAGAGCAGCAGAATTAGTTGAGCTCATCTGATGAACTCTAAGCTGTACAAGAAGCATACAAAATATTAATCACACAAACAAAGCCACTTTAATGGAGGATGCAGGCACTCTCCTGGATAAGAGAATGTGCTGAAGGCAGAATTAGACAGGCACCCGTGTTTCTTCAGGGAATACTTACTAAAGGCTAAAATGTCTGGAAGGTAAAGCATTAGCATTATATGGACACTGTAAACCACACTACCAAACACATACCACCAAAACACTGCATTGACTCTTGAGGCTGGATTACCAGCAAACATAGCATAGGGCAACTCAAAGTAAAAACAATGCCAAGTAGGCACATGCTAGGTTTTATTACTAGATCTAAGTCAGCAGTATATTATATGATTCAACATTTAGTATCTAGGTTTTAAAATAGGTTCTATTATTCCCTTAATTTGTATCATGATAAGGATCAAGTCTGCCACTATTCTGCTGTGTGACCTTGGGCAAGTCACCTAACTTCCCTGAGCTTCAATTTCCTCATGTATAAAATCTAGTTGGACTACATGATTGCTAAGGTCCTTCCAGCTCTAAAAATTCTATGAGTCCATTATAACTTAATCTGGGGGGAATACAACAACTCTAGCATTATTTTTATTAGTTTCTAAGGAAATGGAAACCATTAGGTAAAGCTAGAGTTAAGTTTATCTTTCTGAATATTTTAGATATCTAAAGAACAGAATGACAGAAGAATCTTGCTAGTACCTATTTGTCTGAAGTTGTAAAAGCAGTGTTATATGCTTCTAACACAGGATACTTCATAAATGGCTATGAATCACAGAATCACTGAATTTTTGAGCTGGAAGGAAGTTCCGTTTTTGTTATTGCCTGATGGATTTTTGAGTTCCAGACCTACCTTCTTCGATCCTCTGCTCTACTTGGCTCTCTGGCAACACAGACCTGGCTAGGCAGAACTGGCATTCATGCTAGGTCAGTGTAGAATGAATAGTTCAAAGTATGGGGGAATGAAAATAGCAGAGAAATGGCTATAGGAGAGAAGGGAGCAGTGGAAAATTTTAGTCAAGGAAGTAGCTGATGCAGTTTTATTTAATAACTGTTACTAATTATAAAATGGTATGCACATTGTTTGATTTTATGAATTTATCAATGTAAGTTAAATACATTTTCTTTTAGTGTATACCACATGTCAATGTAGGAGATATTCTTCGTTTAATTTTTCACACAGTGACCATTCTTCTGTCTCTCATTATCTCCACTCAAAGTCAATTGAAAATAACATGGGAGGTGAAGTAAGCTAGTAAGGTAAAAGTATAGAATGTAGAAAACAAAGAATTGTGGAAATAGACAATGACTAAAAGAAACTAACTCAAGAGTAGACTCTGATGTACCTAAGACACTTTGGTGACAAAACTGGGAAGAAAACACTCAGGACTCTCAAATATGTATGAAAGTTTCTTTCAAGAAACTTCAATTTACTAATTTGTCCAAATTAATTTTGTTTTGAAACCTCAGAATTTCTATATTAAATGTCAATTTATCAGAATTACTAAAAGAAACCACTAATTTGAAAGCTATATCAGAATGAGTAAATAATCTGGAGTAAGACTGAGTAACAATAAAATTATTAACAGTAATGCTCTAGACAAGTCTTCAACTTGGGTCCAGAGTCAGGCAATTAACCTCAATGTGCACCCATTAGGACTACAGGGTCATCTGGACAGGGGACTAACTGACTGTCACTTTTCATGAAATTACCACTCTTCTCCCTCTGCAAATCTAGAGCCAAATTTGTACCAAAAGAAGGCTGGGAGTAAAATAAACATTCCTGCACAGTAAAAGGGCAAAGCATACACGTGTAGTTTTTCAAACTATTCACTTACTAATGGACTTAAACCAGGTGGGAATACAATCTACATCAGGGGGAAAGAAAGGAGAAGACAAGAGGACAAGAGCACAGAAAAGCAGAAGAGAGTCACAGTCAAAAAAGGTTAGAAAGCTCCTCAGTTCTCTAAAGCAGCAAATGAACTACTTAAACATCTGTTTTAGGTGCTACCTTAGCAAGGACTAAGTCACTAGTCAACAGCATCTCAAGACTTACCTGTACTACATGCCAATGCCGATGACCAAGTAAAGTGCTTAAACTCTGAGACTCTAAACTGCCATCTGCAAAGGGGCTCTTTTCCCGACAGGTTTTGTGATCAGAGTGAGCTGAAGAACTCCTGGGATTCTGGCTCTGTGAGGCCTCTCCACAGTTCAAGTACAATCGATCCTCCCCCTGAAGCAACACTTGCTCTTGGTTACTCTAGATGAGAAAAAAAGGAAGCAGAGGGAAGGGAAGCAAATAAAAACAAGTCAATATAAGGTGGTGGAAAGTAAGTAAAATGTCGATTTAGTTTTATTGCTAGAAATATACCATACATTTCAGCGTTGATTCTCCTCACAGAGGACAAGACTACATAAAAATTGCTCACACTGTTACATTTAAGACTAACAGGCAACATTTTAATGATTTCTTCTCAGTGTAAAAAAAATCTTTATTAAAGTTTATCATATAGATTCCAAAACATGCCCAGGGTTACAACTGCTATAGCAGTATCTTTTGCAACTACTTCAAAATGGCAATGCTATGAGAGATTTTCCATCTGAAAACTGAATACAACTATTCAATGTCTATAGTTTACAAAGCAGTTTTATATAAAGTATCTCATGAATGGTGATAAGAAAACATGTCTGGTCAGACACTTTGTGTATATGCTCACCCATGTGCCCACACGGCAAGGAGTGGATTAGACACAGGGATAACTGGACTCTGGAGGATCTTTTAAATCATGGGGAGGAGGAAGAGTAGCCTACATCTGTGGTCCTGGTTCAGAACAATTCAACAACTGCTTAGTACCAAGGGATATGCCAGTCTCTGAAGACATTTAGACAAAAAGTTTTTACTTTTGTGAAAGGCCAGTGTTTTCAAATGTAGGCAGATCATTCACTCACTGTTTTTTATAAATTAGACAGATCAGCACCCTGACCCCTCATCTTCCCATTGTAGTCCAAACATCATCTTAACATAAAACTCAGGGTGTTTTTATATTATTATTTTGGATGAGGGAGCAGAGGAAGAAATCCTCTACTCTTGTTTTTCTTATTATTCAACTACAGTAGTAAGGTCTGAGATCCACAGTATTTTCATTCTTTCTCAGTGTGTTGTAAATTTTAATTAGAAACTGGCCGCACCATATATTTAAAAACCCATTGATGGCAGATACTAAGATATGCATTTCTATCATGCAACATATACTATTCTTACACATAGCATATTAATATCATATTTCAGACTGATAAGCATGAATTTATGTTATAATTTGGGGAAGTGTTTCCCAAAGCGGGATTCTAGGCTTATTTTCTTGCAGGTCTTCCTTAAAAATTCATAGGTAACTAAGCTAGGGAAATATTGCTTTTTATATACCAACTCCTGGACTTTTATGATGCACATTAGCATATTAAAGACTAGATTCCTATGCTAAAAAAATCTCTACAGCTTTCTTTAACTCCTTTATTTCACACAAGACAACAGAACTTTTTCTTATTCTATGTAATTGCTATTTACATTTCTCACAAATTGTGCCTGGTGGAACACACTTTGGGGAATGCTATTAACACTAAATTTTATTCAAGTTATTCAAGTAAGTCTGTAAACACTGCTTTTCCTCAAGTTGCTTACGATCCTACTTTAAAAAAAAAAAAGCATGGGACTTCCGTGCTGGTTCAGTGGTTACAACTCAGTGCATCTACTGCAGAGGGTGCAGGTCTGATCCCTGGTCAGGGAACTAAGATCCTGCAGCCTATCCCCTCCAAAAGCTAATCCTGCTCAGAAATAAAACTTGGGGGTATTATTTAATATAAATTAAGAAGAAACCTAATAATCACAGAAAATATACAAAAGAAGATCGTATGCCAATTTTAGGAGTACATGCAACATATCTGTGTCATAGGGCATATGTGTCTGATATTCTAACATGAAAGCCATTAAAAACAAAACCAAACAGAGTTTTAATTAAATAAACTTACCATACAAGGGTTTACAGTGAGTGCACTCTTGATAAACTGAAACAGTAGAATACCAGGCTGTTTAACTATACTCTTGGAGTCAGACTCATTTTCAGTATTTTGAGAACCAAATCCACTGATTACCCAGAGGTGATAGCCTTCAGCACCCCAGCTCTTAGGGAAAGACGGGGGGAGAAAAAGAAGAGGGGGAAATCAAAGGAATAGAAAATTAGTTATTTTTCCTGGTTATAAATATTTAAATTCTCAAATAACCAACAATAAGCATTATTAATTACTTCTGAAGGCTGGAGATACCGTGGCAAACAACACAGACAAGAATCATATACCTACATCTACTACATCTTAGATCACCAGTAGAAACCTTCACTGCTCTCCACCTAGAATAGTGAAAACACTATGTACTAATCCTAGCTACAAATCTTAAGAAATGCCTACTGCTCTCTGTAACTTGTCTATTAATTTAACTGCCTCTCAAATACAAAGAACTTCCTCACAGAGACAAGATCCACATTACATAGCTGAAGCTTGACAAACAAGCACTGCAACAGATACAATCTTGTACAGAACAAAGAAAATGGACTGGTGACGATGAGACTAGGGTTTCCACTGCAGCTTGCCTACCATTTAGTTGTACTATCTTGGCCAAAGTATTTGGTTTTACAGGGTGTAAGTTTCTTCCTCTATAAAATGAGAGAGCTCAAAGGAATTAACCAGGCCCAGTCAATTTTAATATTCTATAACTAGATTTCATGATTGTGAAAATCACTTAAAAAAAAAATCATGGGAAGAGTAGTAATCCCCATCCTGCAAGGCCAAGAAAACACTATTGAGGGGAGGAGAGGTCCATGAATTGCTGCAAAATTTCAGAAGTTCTGCTTTCCCTTGAAAAGTTTCAGTTGCACATGTTAACTAAAATGCTTAGATTCTTAGTTTGTGATTAAAATATCAGCTTAATGAGGCTGGTAACACCAGTTGTTGCATTTGTTGCAGGCCACTCAGAAGCACTGATGGGCAGTCACAGAAACGGTGTTTGAAAACTTAAAAGTATGAAGGTGTGGAGAGTCATCAGATGGGATCCTTGGTGATGAAAGGTTGGAAACCCTTGTTCAAGGCAACCACGGTGGTTTAAATTCTTCGAGAAACCCACGATCAGAAAATGCCTTCCTCTGAGGAGCAGGGGAGAAAGGCAGTGATAAGCCTGAGCCTCACAGCCAGGAACATCACAAAGGTGGTACAGAGGGGGCTATAGTAAGAAAATGATTTTATGTAAAGACAGGGTAGTTATACCTCACTGCTTTCTACAGAAGCTGTTGAAAATTGACTGTAAAAATACTATTACAAGAAGGACTGCAATTCTTTTGATATAATGTACATGTCCTCCAGGAAAAAGACCCAAAGAGCACTTCACATTAAAAGGAGGCTACGGGAAGTGGGTGTTGAATAACATAAAAAATGCAGGTATGTTTTGGAAAAACAAACGCCTGATCTGAACAGTCACTGTGTTCACAGAGATGACAGGCCTTGCTGGACACATCAAAACAAAATAAAAATCAAACACTAAAAATTAGATAGCCTGTTAAAGACAGACTGTTAAACATAACACTTTCATTAAAGCAAGAACTGTGTAAGAAGAGTCTCATGAGACTAGAAGAGCTTTTTAATTTCATTAGGTCAGTATGAAGGGAAAACAGGAAGAAAAAAACCAAGTTTTCCACACCGTGTCAATATTTTATAGAAAGAACTTACCATGGAGTTGATTTTAAGGGGATCTTTTTTGGTACCATCTGACCTATAACTGAAACAGAACAGAAAATTAAAAAGAATCTTCTAATTGCATAAAACATTTAGCTTTAATTTTTTAAAAAACGACTTTCTTCCTTTGAAAGGGAAATACACAATACTGTGTGAAATATGAGACTCCTGGTCAATATACCTAGGTATGTCACTGAGATACAGTCTTCCAGGTACTAAATAATTTCTTGACAGGGTCATGCAGTTTGGACAGGTGTGCTCATTATGTCAGGACTAAAGTTCAGGGTAGTACATGAAATGGGCAGAGTATTAACCTTAACCCTCTTCTGTCAACCCACAGAAAACCTATAACTCAATGAGATAATGTAATTTTTCACTTTCTACTGGCTACTTATATAAATAGTTTACAGCTCTCATTAGATAATAAGCTCCTTGAACATAGATTCATGTGTGATTTAGCCTTGAATCAAACATTTATCACATACACAACAGGGGTTCGATAAATAAATGCATTTTTATTGAAGGAACAATCAACTGAAAGAGGATGGATATATGAAGAATTGATACATTCTAAATAAATTAATTTTGAACCTTATAAACTGTTTTGGGGTAAAAGTCAAATAAGGCAAACTGGTAGCTGTATGACAAAGTTTGCATGCGCGCGCGCGTGTGTGTGTATTGTCTCAGAGAAAATGGAGTTATTTTGTCCAAAATTTCTTTACTGACTCACGCAAAATCTCCTCCAAGTGTACAAATCAGCTGGGCTCCAAATACACTCCATAAAGAAAGGCCTCCATATTCCCAGGTCACTACCACAACACTATTGTCAGGAGACCATCTGACCAACTTAACAGCTCCTGTTTTGTTCCAAATGTCTGTTAAGAAACCACAGAAAAGTTAAGAATAAATAACTGCTTCATACTGAGTACTTTTTACAGCCTCTATCTTCAACTTGAAACAAGCAGAAAGGCATGTCTGCTTCAATGAGATGAATTCAGTTCATTTAGGGCTATTTAAAATCAGTATGATCATTGGCCTGGGCCTGATCTAACCAGAACAAACTCTGTACCCAAAGGATTCCTAAGAACCCAGAACCATTTCTGGCCACTATTAGCTTAAGTAACTATTGATGCAACTGTGTGGTCTTAAAAACTCTTTGGCTTTGGGAAAATCAGTTTCTCTAAGATTGGAATAATATTTCCCTTGAATAATTCAATATAATATCAAAGTACTCTACAAAGTATGAGGTGTTTCAAAACATAAAATATTTTACCATGATCTTCATGTTTTTCCAGTAATATCAAAGGGACTCAAATTAAATTGAAGTTTAACCTTATATTAGGATTAAGTAGGTAAACTCCAGCTTCAGCACTATAGATGCTTATATCTTCTTCTAACTAATAATACTTCTAAACCTATATATAATTCTAAAGGAGAAAATTTCATTGCCTAGTAAAATCCAAGTTTCTTTACTGCAGAGTTAAATGAAACATACCAGCATTTTCCATCAGGAATTCAAACAGATCTGTATGACCTTCTTTACAATTACAGTTCTTTACATTTGAAGTATTAATAAATTTTTGTTGTAAATATATCTGCTGCAACGGGGTGGTATACAGATATTAGCCTACAGAAGACAGGCTTGGTTAACAGAGTAAGAACTTTTTCCCTCTGCCTATGTTTGAATCCTCACATTAGCATTTCCCACCATAATTCAGGTATATGAATAACTGTTACTTATGTATATAAAAATAGGAACATGTATAAGAAACATCTTATTAGTATACTTTACACACCTAGGAGATAAATTTAAAACCAAACCAAGAAAAAAATACAAACTTAAATCAAAGCTTACAAAATGAAAGTAATTCCATGTGCAAGAAAAAAATAAAGTTTAGATGTATATTTACTATCACAAAAAGCTGCTAGTGTTTTAGCTTATAAATAGTATTCCTATTATCCCAAGTAAATATATGTAATATCTGTATCTATATCTACATACACACATATGTACGTATTTTCCAAGCATTGTACACATGTTAAAAAAATCTAGGTACAGAGATGTACAATAAAATAGCAATGATGTTTAACCTAATTTTCAAGTGGCAGGAATACAGAAAATTATCTAGCTGGTAACCTATCATAAACTTAGATTGTGATAATTTGCATAATGAGAAAAATATAAAAAATAATCCCCAAACTTGCTGTTACAGTTGAATTTGCAAGACAGAAAGGACGATCTCCAGGAGCCAAAAGAAAAAAACCAAAAGTGAGACAGGTTAGTGTTTGAATTAAGGCACCCTAGGTGTGAAGAGTGGGAAGTGATGAGATGAAAACAGTTGGAAATATAGGGACAGAAGGTTGGAATGGGACCTAGCTGTGACTAGGGAGTTGTGGGTCTCACATCCTTATACAAAGACAAAAAAAGGGGTTTCAGGGCAACATGAGTCTGAGAATCAGAATGGAAACTGACGATCATGTAAGGACTCCTGATCTGCTGCCACCTGTAAAAATCAGCCAGTGAAGCCAGAAGAAAACACAGATGCTTATGTCTGTTCAAGAGGCAGGACAACACAAGTCTCCCAACATTTTAAGCAGCTTTATAGCCAAAAGTTACATAATCCAAAAGGGTAGCCCTCTCCCATAACAAAGACCACAAGAGAGGGAGTTAGCAGATAACTAAAGGGAGAACTGGCATTCCAAGAACCTGAGAAAAGGAAACAACCTGAAAAATTCAGTACAGTGTTGTCAAACGATCAACAGAAGGGATCAGCAGAACTTCCTGAAATGATGTAAACATTCTACATTTGCTTGGTCTAACAGACAGCCACTAAGCTACATCAGGCTATTTAACATTTAGGTGTAAAGAGGCAACTGAGATTTCAGAGTAATCCAAATCTGTGCCCCAATCACTAATCCCAAAGAAGGTGAAGCTGAACGGTTCTGTGATGACCTTAAAGACCTTCTAGAACTAACACCAAAAAAAAAAAAAAGATGTCCTTTTCATCATAGGGGGCTGGAATGCAAAAGTAGGAAGTCAAAGAGATACCTGGAGTAAAAGGCAAGTTTGACCTCGGTGTGCAGAATGAAGCAGGGTAAAGGCTAATACAGTTTTGCCAAGAGAACGCACTGGTCACAGCAAACACCCTCTTCCAACAACACAAGAGACAACTCTACACATGGACATCATGAGATAGCCAATACCGAAAACAGACTGATTATATTCTTTGCAGCCAAAGACAGAGAAGCTCTATACAGTCAGCAAAAGCAAGACCGGGAGCTGACTGTAGCTCAGATCATGAACGCCTTATGGCCAAATTCAGACTTAAATTGAAGAAAGTAAGGAAAACTACTAAGCCATTCAGGTATGATCTAAATCAAATCCCTTACAATTATACAGTGGAAGTGACAAATAGATTCAAGGGATTATTAGATCTGACAGATGGAGTGCCTGAAGAACTATGGATGGAGGTTTGTAACACTGTACAGGAGACAGTGATCAAGATCACCCCCAAGAAAAAAAAATGTAAAAAGGCAAAATGGTTGTCTGAGGGGGTCTTACAGATAGCTGTGAAAAGAAGAGAAGCAAAAGGCAAAGGAGAAAAGGACAGATATAACCATCTGAATGCAGAGTTCCAAAAAATCACACTGAGAGATAAGAAAGCCTTCCTCAGTGATCAATGCAAAGAAAAGAGGAAAACTATAAAATGGGAAAAACTATAGATCTCTTCAAGAAAATCAGAGATACCAAAGGAACATTTCATGCAATGATGGGCACAATTAAGGACAGAAATGGTATTGACCTAATAGAAGCAGAAGATATTAAGAAGAGGTGGCAAGAATACACAAAAGATCTTCATGATCCAGATAACCATGATGATGTGATCACTCGCCAAGAGCCGGACATCCTGGAATGTGAAGTCAAGTGGGTCTTAAGAAGCATCACTACGAACAAAGCTGGTGGAGGTGATGGAATTCCAGTTGAGCTATTTCAAATCCTAAAAGATGATGCTGTGAAAGTGTTACACTCAATATGTCCGCAAATTTGGGAAACTCAGAAGTGGCCACAGGACTGGAAAAGGTCAGTTTTCATTACAATCCCAAAGAAAGGCAATGCCAAGCTACTGTACAATTGCACTCATCTCACAGGCTAGCAAAGTAATGCTCAAAATTCTCCCAGTGAGGCTTCAAGTACGTGAACAAGAACGTCCAGATGTTCAAGCTGGATTTCGAAAAGGCAGAGGAACGAGAGATCAATCTGCCAACACCCGCTGGATCACAGAAAAAACAAGAGTTCCAGAAAAACATATACTGCTTTACTGATTAAAGCCTTTGCCTATGTGGATCACAACAAACTGGAAAATTCTTAAAGAGAATTACCTTACCTGCCTCCTGAGAAATGTGTATGCAGGTCAAGAAGCAATAGTCAGAACCAGCCATGGAACAATGGACTGGTTCCAAACTGAGAAAGAAGTACATCAAGGCTGCATATTGCCACCCTACTTATTTAACTTATATGAAGAAAATCATGCAAGATGCCGGGCTAGATGAGGCACAAGCTGAAATCAAAACTGCTGGGAGAAATAAAATAACCTCAGAATGTCATCCTCATGAGGGCAGAAAATGAAGAGGAACTAAAGAGCTTCTTGATGAAAGTGAAAGAGGAAAGTGAAAAAGCTGGCTTTAAAACTCAACATTCAAAAAATGAAGATTATGGTATCCAGTCACATCACTTCATGACAAATAAATGGGAAACTGGAAATAGTGACAGACTTCATTTTCTTGGGCTCCAAAATCTCTGCAGATGGTGACTGCAGTCATGAAATTAAAGGACGACTGCTCTTTGGAAGAAAAGCTATGATCAACCTAGACAGCATATTAAAAAGCATAAACATTACTTTGCTGACAAAGGTCCATCTAGTCAAAGCTATGGTTTTTCCAGTAGTCATGTATGGATGTGAGGGTTGGACCATAAAGAAACATGAGCGCTGAAGAATTGATATTTTTGATCTGTGGTGTTGGAGAAGACTCTTGAGAGCCCCATGGACTGGAAGGAGGCCAAACCAGTCAATCCTAAAGGAAATCAGTCTGGAATATTCACTGGAAGAACTGATGCTGAAGCTGAAGCTCCAATATTTGGGTCACCTGATGCGAAGAAATGATTTATTGGAAAAGACCCTGATGTTGGGAAAGATTGAAGGCAGAAGGGGAAGATAGATGAGATGGCTGGATGGCACCACCGACTCGATGGATACGAGCTTGAGCAATCTCCGGGAGTTGGTGATGGACTGGGAAGCCTGGTGTGCTGCAGTCCACGGGGCTGCAAAGAGTCAGACACGACTGAGAGACTGAACTAACTGAGGCAACTGAGAAACATTTTGGTTTTCTTTTAGTTTCATTTAAATAACAACATGTGCCTGGTAGCTATTGTACTGGACATCACATCAACAGTATGGATAAAAAAGAAACAGATAAAACAGATAAAAGGGCTAGAAAATACAAGCAAAATACACAGCACCCTGTTCTTGCCAGCTGCAGCAAAAACTCTTTAGGAAATAAGAAAAAAAATGCAACCTTTAAAAAAGCTATGCAATAAGAGTGATAAATATTTAAGGAACTAATTTCTATTTCTGGCAAGACAGCAAATTTGATAGCTGGAATGACTCTCCACACTGCAATAAGTAAAATGTTAAACAGAATACTTAAATATTTCAAAATATTAAAAAACACTGGGAGGTAAGCAACAAACTGCTGTTGCCCTGCATCTTTCTGCCAAAACCTAGAGACCTGACTTTCACCTATGACGACTCTCAGCATATGAGGAACAGAAGATAAAACTCAGAGCTTGGCCAAGATGGGGAATAGAAGATAACCATGTAATCCTGAGAATACAATTCCATGTTCAAGGGAGAGTGAGAAATAAACTACCACATAGAAGGTGAAAAAAATAGCAAGGAGCACTTTCCTGTTTTTGCCCATGGTACTGAATGGAAAATAAAGAAGCTCCTGTGAGAATCTGCAACCACAAGCCAGTCCTCAGGCTCATCTATAATCTGTGTAACTTGTAGCATTCAAAAAAGAAAAAAATCTCAAACAGAATATAAGGCAAAGGCTTCCAGACTAATGTAGTTTTCCCAGGTGACTGGAAGAAACAAACAGATATCCTCTCTGCAAGAACTCATTTCAATCTAGTTTCTGCTTTCCTGATCAGAAAACATATATATGCTTTCTTTCCTCCTTTCTTCTTGACTCAAGAAGTGACGCTTGGGGCTTAGGTTAACCTGTGACCATGGAAGAAAAGGCCAAATGGATGCCAACAGCAGCCTGCCTTTGGATTTCTTGCCATTATAGAGGATAAATGCTACCTGTTTAAGGGATAGTAAGTTGGGTTTTCTGTTAGTTTCAGTTAAAAACATTTCCAATAATAACAGATTTTACACTTACTCCAGTGTGACTTAAGAGTCACAAAGGGAGTTCCGAGAGAGACTTTTTGTTTTGTTCACTACTGTGTACCAGCATTTAGAATAATGTCTGGCCTACAGTATGTACTCAATAATTACTTGTTGAATGACTAAATGGAAATAAAGGCATAAAACAACAGAGGCAATGAAATTAAGAAAGAGTCTAAAGCAAAGCCCAGACAAGTAACACAGGGGCTACAACTAAAGTGGGGATAAAGAAAACTAAATGGAAGAGATTAAAAGAGGTCTCCCAGGAGCCTCTAGTAGAAATCCTTGAGTCAGAGAGAATTGTTGTTACACGTTTTAATAATACTTGGCCTTTGACATCCATCATCTAATTCAAATCAAAACTCACTACACGTATTATCTGTAATTAAGAAGAAAGGGGAAAAAAAAAAGAAGAAGAGGACTCACCAGGATACTGTTTTGCTGTTAACTCTAGTTTATGAGACAGCTGCATGGCTCCAGTGGTGTTATCTATTGTATAAACCTGTACAGAACCACTGTGAAAACCAAAAAGACTTTCAGTGTAAAAAGACAAATACAAATATAAAAAACATGACTATGGAAATATGTTCTGCTGACAGGAGTGTAAACTAGAACACAACCATTTTGTAAATAATTTACAGTCATCTCATAACCTGAAACAAATTCATATTCTATAGTCTGCTATTTCACCTATAGATATACCCCAGAAATATCCTTGTCTTTGCAACATACACAATGTTCATTATAAGACTGTAAGTGCAAAGAAATGCCAACCATCTACATGTCCAGCAATGAGAAAGGGAAGAGAAACTGTGGTATATTCACATAATAGTATACCATATACTATTCATATACATATACATATGAATTTTTGTCCTATACCTTAAAATGGACAGCATATCTCTCTACCCACCCATCTATCTATGTATCTATATAAATAGTATAATTTCATTTCTATACCATGAAAAACATCCAAAACATAGTAGTGAAATACATTTGTGGTAAAAATACAACAAAGAGCTAGTGCACACAAGTTCCAGGTTAGTAACTGCCCTGGTAGAAAAAGAGGAATATGAAAGAAGAGGAGGAAGTGGGGGCTTCATCAGTTCAATACTGGTAATATGCTATTTTTCATTTTATATTATTTTTTGTTGTATACATTATATATACTCTTCTATCTATGGTACGGGTTATGATTCTGTTAAAAATTTTTTTTACAAGGGTTAAACTTACAAAGGGCCAGAAACCAGAACAGAGTTTGTATATTACATCTAAGCTACATTTCAAAATTGAACTATAATAATCATAAAAAATACCATTTCTGCTTACATGGCAATTCTCAGACCAAAATTTAACATCAATGTTGTTTTCAAAATGATTTAAATCCAAGGCTGCTTCTGCACACACTAGGATGACACCAAGCATATGAGAATGTTCTGACCATAATGTGTACTCCTTCAAGGTAGGACAAGTCAGATGGTCTCCTCACAGCATCTCTGATCGGTTTCCAGCCAGGCCTAACTCTTCACAGGGATCAGAATGGGACTAAATAAAACTTGCAATAACAGGCCACTTAAAACTATCCCACAGCTCCCTGATGCTCTGTTTTTAAATTCCTTTTTTTCCTGTTTCATTTTGTATCATTTCTCTTGCTATGTTCTTCAAGTATATTAATCTTTTCTTCTGTAATATTTGATTTGGGTCTTTTATCTTCCATATTTAAATTTAATACTCAAAAGAAACCCTTTATAGCTTTTTGGAGTTCTCTCTTTGTGCCACTCTCTCCTTTCTGGTGTCTGGTCTGTGATCCCCTGCTGCTTTGGTCTCCCAGATTTTCATTTGCACACACTCAGTCAAGGGAATCTGCCAGACCCTGTCTCCCCATCCATGTGCTGGAAACTCTCTCAAAGAAATTAAAACTGGGCCAGTTGAAGAGTTTTTTGTCTTTTTTTAAAATTTAGATTCTCATCTCTCAGGGATCACTGTCCTTTGTTGCCTGATGTCCTATGTCTTGAATTCGAAATATCTGTTTCATCTTTTTGTCCATTTTCTTGACTACTTCAGGTGGGAGAGAAAATCTAATCTGTTATTCCAACCTGTCAGAAGACAAATGCCTGGAACATATATCTATCCAGACTACCTGCCCAATTAGATACCTTGCAGAGAGACAGTACTAAATAGCTAGCAGGTACTGTTTTTGCTTTGCATCTAGAATTGTCAAGTGCTAACTCTGGGTTGCTGAGCTCTAACAAGTCAGTGAGGAATCCAGATATCTCTAATATAAGAAATAGATGTTGTGTCAATAGTTACAAAAGACTGACAATTTAAGTATTTATAGTGCCTATATTCTTTTCTTTCCATTTCTCATAAGCCCACCATTAAAGTATTTTTTTTAATTAAAAAACTACTTACTAATCTCAAAGCAAAAAAACTTTTATATTAAAGATACACACAGCTTTATCACTATAAGTAATCAAATTTAGCTCATCAATATTGAGACAGCTTGATGTTATTGCTTCATGATGCCATAGGAAGTACAAAACATCACCTACGACAAAAATGTTTAACTAGAATCTAATCCAACCTTAAATACAAGGGTAAGAATAAGGTTTTAAACTGGTATCCTAAAAGAAAGGTGACTTTCTAGAGAACTCTAAGGACACCAGCTGCAGATTAATTGTTCAAGGTAATTCATCCTGGTAAGTGTTGAGAGATCAAGGCTAGAAGCCACTAGTCTGGTATGTCACGTAGCTATAATCACAAAACTTTCATCACAACCCACGATCATGCCGTAAGAAGGGCTGATTTTTCCCCAACTCATGAAAACTGACATGACTAAAAGGCTGAAGGCCAAGATTCCATTTTCATCCTGGAAGAAGGGTTGAAAGCCTGGATTCCAATCTGGCCTTCCTAGACCGCTGGGTGCTAGCCCTGAATGTAGATGATGTAGAGTACACACCCACCACTGCTCCTGTCTGTGAGCTTCCTACTCATTTGACTGTAATGGCTCAGTAAGAACCATCTTCATGGTTCAAACAGGTGTTACAGAAAGTAATTAAATGCCATTATGAGAAAACATAACAAGACACTTTAGAATGTAGGATATTCGTAAACAGTTGACCTAGACGCTTAATGTCATAAGACGCTTAATGTCAAAAAGTTAATGTCATAACATAAAAACAACAAAGGCATTACAGGTTGGTACAAAAGTAACTGCATTTTTGCACTGCTGAACTTTGCTGTTTGATACTGGAATATATTCTTAAGTAAATGTGGTTATGTTACACATCATTTTAATGGGCATTTCTCGCTTTATGTTTTTTTTTTTTTGCTAATGACTTATTACTTGCTATTTATATTTATTTTAGACTAGGGAAATGATGTTAGACAAAAAACAAATTCGAGGGATTTTCTTATTTAAGTTCAAAATGGGTCATAAAGCAGCAGAGATAACTAGTAACATCAACAATACATTTGGCCCAGAAACTGCTAATGAACATACAGAGCAGTGGTGGTTCAATTAGTGTTGCAAACTAGATGACAGCCCTGAACAGGAGAAGTGCAGTGGCCAGCCATCAGAATTTGACAACAACCGAGAGGATCATCGAAGCTGATCCTCCTGTAACTAGAAGTTGCTGAAGAACTCAACATCGACCGTTTTCGGCATTTGAAGCAAACTGGAAAGATGAAAAAGCTCAAGTGAGTGCCTCATAAGTGAAGTGAGTGAAGTCGCTCAGTCGTGTCCGACCCTTTGCGACCCCGTGGACTATAGTCCTCCATCAGGCTCCTCCATCCATGGGATTCTCCAGGCAAGAATACTGGAGTGGGTTGCCAGCTGACCACAAATCAAAAAGTCACCATTCTGAAGTGTCATCTTCTCTTATTCTATGCAACAATGAACTATTTCTAGATCAGATTGTGACACGCAACAAAAAGTGGATTTTACACAACTGGCGATGACCAGCTCAGTGGTTGAACTGAGAAGCTCCAAAGCACTTCCCAAAGCCAAGCTTGCACCAAAAAAATAGTAATGGTCACTGTTTGGTGATCTGATCCACTACAGCTTTCCAAATCCCAGCAAAACCATTACATCTGAGAAGTATGCGCAGTAAATCAATGAAATGCACTGAAAACTGCAATGCTTGCCGCCAGCACTGGTCAATAGGATGTGCCCAATTCTTCCACATGTCACACAATCAATGCTTCAAAAGATGAATGAATTGGGCTACTAAGTTTTGCCTCATCCATTCATCTGACCTCTTCACAACCGACTACTACTACTTCAAGCAGCTCAACTTTTTGCAGGGAAAATGTTTCCGCAACCAGCAGGACACAGAAAATGCTTTCCAAGTGTTTGTCAAATTCTGAAACACAGATTTTTACACCACGAAATAAACTTATTTCTCACTGGCAAAAATGTGTTGGTTGTAATGGTTCCCATTTTGATTAATACAGATGTGTGTGACCCTAGTTATAATGATTTAAAATTCATCGTCCAAAACTGCAATTACTTTTGTACTAATCTAAGAATTTTTATAGGCAAAAGGTAACTAAAGAGAAATGATAACCAAACATAATTCATGAATTTTGAATGATTCTGACTAAAAAAAAGAGATATAAAGGAAATTTGGTGGTAATTAGGTTATTCTGAATATGAATGAGTTTTAGATCTTATTGAGGATTTATCATTAATTTACCCATGCATTTGATTTAAGATTGTGTGTCTATGTAAGAGAAAATGAGTTAGGAAGGGACTGGGAGTCATGATTAGGAAGTAGGAGTGATAAAATTTATATTGGCTAGCAATGTTCTATTTCTTGACCAAGTTGTGAAAAGATGGGATGCTTGTATTATAATTATTTGTAAAACTGTGACTATCTTGATTACACACTTCCCCATTTCTTATTTTACAATATGAAAATTACAAAGGGTATTATAACTTCTATCAATAAATTTGACAGTGTATATAAAAGAAACCAATTCCTAGAAAAATAAAACTTGCCAAAATGACTGAGGAAGAGATAGAAAAATCTGAATCTCCTATAAGGCTATTTTAAAAATGAACTGGTGGCCAATTTTACTTTGAAAATATGCATTATTTGAATCAAGGCAAGAAAATGATTTTACAAATGAGCTTTAAACTTGCTTGTTAACTAAGGCACACTCACTAATTCAAAGGCAAGTCAACACTGATGTCTTAAAGAGAAAGGATTTAGGGGCTTCCCTGGTGGCTCAGAGGTAAAGAATCCACCTGCAGGAGACACAGGTTTGATCTCTGGTCCGGGAGGCTTCCACATGCTGCAGAGCAACTCAACCCATGTGCCATAACTCTAGAGCTCAGGAACCAAGGCCACGCGCCACAGCTATTGAAACTTGTGCCCCCTAGAGCCTGTGCTCCACACAAGAGAAGCCATCTGCAGTGAGAAGTCCAGTGGCCCCCACTCACCACAACTAGGGAAGATCCTGCACAGCAACTGAAGACCCAGCACAGCCGAGGATAAATAAACCCTCCTCCTGATGTTATTTAAAACAATAAAGAGCCTAAATTTTAACTGATTTAACTTTAATTTGTGACTCAGTTTCCTACCACTGAAAAAAGCTCACAAATTAAAACACCCAATCTCCAAAATCTGCCCTTTGTATTTGTTTGCTTCAATTAAAATACCTTTACGTTTTATATTAAGGTTGATTCATAAATTATGAAAGGCACAACAAAGTTCCTAAGTGTGTTAATAAGAACATCTTATGTTTTTTAAAAAAATTATTTTTGGCAGTAAATCTTAAAATACAGGCAATAATTACCTTGCACAACCAAATGCCATCAGTCGATACTTGTTATTTACTGCTACACAAGTTCCATCAACAACATCTTGTGGCCAAACTCCATGAAGCTGCTAAAATTAAGAAAAATAGTTAAGATTTAATTGTGTTCTCCAAATATACTTCAATTAACATAACTTCCATTCAGTAAACATAATTTCATAAGGTTTCATATGGTTCTTTATATGGTTTCGTCTGGATAGGAAAACATCCCATCAGGAATACCATCTGGATTTTTCCCCTTAAAATCTCAACTTCATTAGCTGGTTTAATAAATATTTCCAGATGAGCTCAGTCCAGTGCTAATTCATTTATAAAACACTAAAAGATGGATATCTGATCTCTAAATTCAAATTAATTGAAGACAATTTTCCTATTAAAAAGTAAACCTCTTGATGGTAGAAACTGCATCTAAGTTGCTCACTATTATTCTTCTTTCCACTTAGCACATAGTGTTTAACTTTCCCAATCAATGGGAATTAGTCAATTTTATTTGGTCTATCTTGTCTCTTGAGAAACCTGTATGGGGGTCAAGAAGTAACAGTTAGAACCCTGTACGGAGTAACTGAATGGTTCGGGATAGAGAAAGGAGTACAAGGCTGTTTATTGTCACCCTGTTTGTTTAACTCACATACAGGGCACAGTATGCGAAATGCCAGGTTGGATGAATTACAAGCTGGAATCAAGACTGTCAGAAGAAATATCAACAATCTCAGAGACGTGGATGATACCACTCTAATGACAGAAAGCAAAGAGAAACTAAACAGCCTCTTGATGAAGGTGAAGGAGTAGGGTGAAAAAGCCAGCTTAAAACTCAATATTAAAAAAAACTAAGATCATGGCATCCAGTCCCATCACTTCATGGCAAATAGAAGGGGAAAAGGTGGAAGCAGTTGCAGATTTCCTCTTCTTGGGAAGAGAAAATCACTGCAGATGGTGACTGCAGCTATGAAATTAGATGATGATTGCGCCTTGGTAGGAAAACCATGACAAACCTCGTCAATATGTTAAAAAGCAAAGACATCACTATGCCAACAAAGGTCCCTATAGTCAAGGCTATGGTCTTTCCAGTAGTCATGTACCAATGTGAGAGCTGGACAATAAAGAAGGCAGAGTGCTGAAGAATTGATGCTTTGAATTGTAGTGCTGGAAAAGACTCTTAAGAGTCCCTTGGAAAGCAAGGAGATCAAACTGGTCAATCTTAAAGGAAATCAACCCTGAATACTCTTTGAAGGACTGGTGCTGAAACTGAAACTCCAATACTATGGCTACTTGATGCAAACAGCTGACTCAATGGAAAAGACCCTGATGCTGGCAAAGACTGACAGCAGAAGGAGAAGAGGGTGACAGAGGATGAGATGGTTGGGTGGCATCACTGATTCAACGGACATGATCTTGGGCAAACTCCAGGAGATGGTGAGGGACAAGGAAGCCTGGTGTGCTGCAATCCATAGGGTCTTGAAGAGTCGGACATGACTCGGGGGCTGAACAACAATGACATTCTTTAGAAGTGACTAATGATTTGTCAATTGCTTACTATTCTCTATTATTCCTTTGCTTTATAGTATAATGGTTAATAGCATGGTATATGGCATCCTAACATCACATCTCAGATCTACCACTCACTTGTAAAAATGACTTTGTGACATTTTCAAGCTTCAGTTTTCTTTTCTGTAAATTACCTCTTAAGAGTGTTTTGAAGATTAAATGGGAGTAGATATATTCAATACATATAACCCACTTAATGTAATGCCAGGAATTCAACAAGTTAAATAAGCTTCAATGACTGAATGATATTATTATTAAGCTTTATATGCTACTTAATTTTGAATACAGACACAGAATAGAGTCAACTCTATTGTCTGTTTTTATTTGTCAAATCAAGGGCATCTTAGATCATATATTCTAAGGTAAAGGTCACCATGACTGCTGGTTTAGTAAGCACAAAAATTAGCACACTACAATACAGCATTTTATTTTTGGATTATCACAACAGTAAACATTAGATGATCTGATATAATTAAGCTGTTCAAAATATAATACTATAGATTTTTTAAAATTCCTAAATAAACTATATAATCTACTATCTAAATATGAAATGTGTGCTTCTTTGTAGCAGTTTTATTTATTTTACTTTAATAATAAAACTATACATTACTTCAGATAATGGAAAATGGCAAAAGATAGCAATGAGCATTATTTCTTTGGACTACTGTCTACACTGGAATTCATTCATTCATCCCTACCATAAAAGTCTTCCAGGCACCCACTATTCACCAGATGCTGCTCTAGATACTGAGGATACTGCAGATATTCAAACATACCAAAATCCTCAGCTGTATCCCTGCCTTACATTTGTTAAGAGACTGACAAGTTTAAAAAAATTGTACAGTATTACACAGGAAGATGGTAAATGCTACCAAAAAAATAAGGCAATTATGGAGAAGACAGTGTATGGGGGAAGGATGTAAAATTAAACTATTTTCCCTATGATGAAGGTGCCTCAAGAGGAAAGTACTGAAAGAGATGGAGCAAGAGAAAGGCCCTGTCATAGCAGCATTTCTGGCATGTTCAAAGATAAAAGAAACTTGTGTGGCTGGAGTGGAGTGGAATAAGGGAAGAAGTAGTAAAGGAGGTAACGGATGAAAGAGCAGACCAGATTTATAGGGCTTTGAAAGCCACCATGAGATCTTTGACTTTTTCTCCATTTCACATATGGGGAGTCATTTGGAGAGTCTTTAATTTTTTAGCCCTTTCTATTATGAATTATGATACATTGAAGAAAAATACCCAAACCAAAAATGTACATCATCATAATACTACAAAGGAAACACTTGTGAAATTACCACTCAGCTAGGAATTACCAGTAACAAAAATCTCCCAAGAGTGTCACTCCTGATCAATATACCCTCACCCCAACCACAAAAGTAACCAATATCCAGACTTAATGGTAATCACTTTCTTCTTTTCCTTTAAACTATTAACACTTAAACATGTACTCATACAAACTCTAATTCAGAGCTGCCTAGGTTTTAAGATTTCCTTCTGTTTTATGTAAAATAGAATCACAGCATGTACTTTTTTGTGTCTAGCTGTTTCCACTGAATATTTCTGTGAGATTCATCCATGATATTGCATACAGCCTTGTTTGCTCATTGCTCATTTTAGCTCACTAAGCCTCTGGCCTCCCCTAGCCTCTTAATTCCTTACTGTTTTGTTAGCTCTCCAAAGCCTCTAAGTACATTAAAAAAAATTATTTTTTCTCCAGCTTTTCTAGTTGTCCTCAGCAGGTTTTGTCCTAAAAATCTAGTCCTACTAAAGGGTTCTGAGCAGACGAGTGGCATAGTCTGACACATTTTAATAGAAGTGTCTACTGTATTTTTACAGTGTATACTGTGTATACTATAAGTTATAAATAGTGTGTATATATATATATGATGTGTATATAAATGTGTATACTGTTTAGTGGCTGTACACATTTACAGCTGTGTAAATGTGTACAGCCACTATAGAATGCCAAACAGGAGTTTTTATAAGGCACTTAAATAATGTCTAATATAAATACACCATTAGAGTATTTCCCAATTACCAGTAATACATATGTAATGTTTTCATGTAACTTATATTTTCTACTTATAACTTTCTTAATAATGTCCATCTACTTTTCATTATTTAAATCCCTAAATTACTAGAAAATTTTCTTTAACCAAATACTAACAAAAGCTTATATTCAGAATGAGTCAATCACTTTCCAGCTCTAACATGTTTATTTTCAGTAAATAAATTTAAATCCCAAACATATGTCAACAAAATGAAAAGGCAGTCTACTGAATGGGAGAAAATATTTGCAGAGCACATATGTGACAAAAGGTTATATTCAAAATATATGAAGAACTCATGTATTTAATAGCAAAAAATTTGATTAAAAAAATGGGCAGACGATCTGAACAGACATTTCTCTAAAGAACAAATAGGGATGCCCAAAAAGTACCTGAAAAGATGCTCAATACCACTAATGTCAGAGAAACGCACATCAAAACCACAATGAGATGTTATCTCACACCTGTCAGAACGGCTATTATCAAAAAGACAAGAAATAATTAAGTGTTGCGACAATGGGAGAAAAAGGAACCCTTGTGCATTCCTGATGGCAATGTAAATTTGTACAGCCACTATAGAAGAGCTTCCTCAGAAAAAGTAAAAACAAAACTACTATATAATCCATATATATGTGGGTATTTATCAAGAGAAGAAAATACTAACTTGAAAAGATATCTATACCTCCATGTTCTATGCAGCATTGTTTATAAAAGCCAAAATATGGAAACACTTAAGTGCTCACTGATGGATGAATGGATAGAGAAAATTTGGTATATGTACATACAAGCACACAAAATGGAATACAGTTGACTCAAACAACCTGAGGGTTAGCAGTACCTACCCCCCACAGTAGAAAATACACACACAGCTTTACAGCTGGCCCTCCATATCCATGGGTCTGCATCTGTGGACTCAATCAATTGCAGATTATAGAGTACTACAGTGTGTATTTATTGAAAAAAATCCAGATGTCAGTGGACCTGTGCAGTTCAAATCTATGTTGTTAAAGGGTCAACTGTATTTAGCCATAAGAAAGAATGAAATCTTGCCTTTTGCAACAATATGGATGGACCTTGAGAGCATCATGCTGAATGAAATAAATCAGAGAAAACTGATACCATACAGAAAAATATGCCCTTAAAAACTTAAAATTCTTTCCAGTTAGAGAGAGTAGGCTGAACATGAATATTTAGTTTCTCTGACTCTTAAAACCCCAAATGTGTAAGTTGGCAAGGACAGAATGGGAGAGGAGGCAGTATCGGAAAATTTACTAAGCTGGGAAGCAAGTGGATGAGTAGAGTCCTTAACTAGCAGTAAGGAACACTTTGAAAAACAGTCAAATTTGCATTACAGGTTACACAAAAGGCTTGGGAAGTAAAATGTCTCAAAAGCTGAACTAAAAGCAGCAGGACTGGTTCAGAAACAGTTTATTCAGTAGCTGGGTCTGCCTAGGCTACCTCCCACTCTAAGCCGCTAAGGAATATTCTGCCTCCACTCCAAGAGAAAACTGCAATTTTTCTTTAGACAAAAACAAGACAAAAATCTCAGTGGTCTCTAAACAACACTGAAAATAGGGATACGTGGGAGTTTAGTTCCTGAATTTGGAATCTCTAGTCTAACTCTTTCATAACTCAAAATCCCAAAATACTGGGCTGGCCAAGTACACAGTCTTTGGAGAAGACTGGATACAGTGTGGGGAGGAAAAAAATAACCCAGTTAGCTCACGTTATGAAAAGCACAGTCAACCAAACCCACCAAACCCCACACAGCTTTCAGTGAATCTAAATTTTTATTCTGGGTCTCTGTCACAACCAAATTCATACATTAACTAATCAAATATTAACCATTAACTCTGAAAGGATCTAAGAGTAAAGGAATACAGGGAATCCATAGGATGATGATGATGGACAGCCCCAACATGCAGCTGTGTTAAAGGTATGCGTAGCAAGCAATCCATCCAGAAGGATCCAAGAGAAATTTCTTCAAGACGACGAAACAGATACTAATATAATAAAAATCACATTATCTATATTGGGAAGATGGGAAGAACTTGTAGATGCTGTGGGACCAGGGAGGAGGGAAGTAAATGGTCATTTTCCACAACAGCAAGTCAATAAACACAGCCTAAAAACTAAAAATTACAGGAAATACTCAGAGTAGTGGAGATAAACAGCAAAATAATCAATAAAGGAGTAAGAAGTAGTTGCCTCTGAGAATGAACACTGGGCATGAAAAGAGGAAAGGAACGATCATTTTTCATTAACATGTCAAAAGACTTTGTTTATACTAGTTGTATGTATGGCTTTGATAAAAAAAAATTAACAACCACTCCTAAAATCTTAAATAAGGAAAACTGGAGGGGGATTTAATGAAGATTAAAATTAATAAATGCAAAATTGAAAAACAAACATTGAAAGTAAGTCCTACCTCTGCAGTAAATCTACTTGACACTGGTGTAATAAATCCAACTTTACCATCATTAAACACAACAGCAAATCCATCAAGTGTGGCACAGTATTCCATGTCTCTAATGTGCACATCTGCAAAACCCAGGAATGAACCTGCTGATGAAAAAATAAGTATTTGAAATATAAATATAAATATAGTAAATTAATTCTGTTACACTTTTGCTTACAAACCATGTAAGAACAGTTAAAAGGTCAAAATTTAAAGAACTAACAACACTAAACAGTTAAACTACTCCTTCCTACACACACACACTCACTCAACTCACAATTCCAAAGTAGAAAAATCAATGTTCATCCATAGAAAATATCAACTAGATTATATAAAATATTAAACACCTGGTTCTATCTCATGTAAAAAGTATTACTACCTCTAGATGACTGCAGGTCTACTGAAAAGGGTACTGTACAAAGATTAATAGCTTTCCTCCCATTTGTCATTCCTTCCCAGTGAATAAGATGAAGAAGTCCATCAGAAGTAGCAACCAGGAGATCTTCCAGCACAGACTGCAAACTGTGGGGAAGCAATAAGCAATTTATCAGTTATCTTTTAAGAAAAGCATACTGGGAAAGCAATGAATATAACTGCTCTGGAGAATATTCAAGCAAAGATCATGAAACCACTTTTAAAACTGCCATTTATCAACAATTTCACTATACAGGAGTTTATCTATGTATAATTCAATCTAGATCAGAAATTCTGGGGGGAAAAAATGACCATAGCTGCTGTTATTACAAACCTGATAGATTGAGTTTAAAAACTAGACACATTGAAATGACAGATTAGAAGATGGAAGGATAAGTGAAGCTGACAAGAAAAGAAAGAGGCAGAGAAACCATAAAAATGAACTAATGACAGAATGACAGATAGGGAGCGTAGTGGAACCCATTCTCTACCCCTGTCCAAGAGAACTTTCATCAGTGATGGAAATATTCTGTTATCTGTACTACTGAACACAGTAGCCATTAGCCATGTGTGGTGACCGCACATTTGAAATACTGAATGAGTGTAACAAAAACACTAAATTTTAAGTTTTATTTAACCTAAAATTAACATTTAAGTCACTTCACTTGACTAGTGGCTACTGTCGTGGAAAACACAGTTCCAGACCACAGTATTTCTAAGGTATCACAGAATCTCATGTTGTATATTCATTCAACAAATATTTATTGTCTGGGCTCTGTGACAGGCGCTATGCTTGTCGAAGATTCAAAGGTGAAGAAAATATAGTTTCTCCCTCCAGAAGACCTCTCAGTTAACTAAGTACTGGAAATAAATTATGTAGTATGATCTCAGCATTTATTGATACTTGCAAAGAGCTTTAACAATTATGGTTTCCATGGCAATAAATGCCTAATTTGCTTACTCCTATAATGCCAAGTCTGGAAGGCAGTGTTATTTACATCTGGTACCAAATATTTATGGGAGGAAGGTCAAGAGGGAGGAGTAATCCAAAAGTGAAGCTACAAAGATACTGGCAGAAAGAAAGAAAGAAAGAGAACCAATGGAAACTGGCATTAAGAAAGCCAAGGGAACAGTCGAAGTCAAAGTGTCAGTCGCTCAATTGTGTTTGACTCTTTGAGACCCCATGGACTATAGCCCTCCAGGCTCCTCTATCCATAGGATTTCCCAGGCAAGAATACTGGAGTGGGCTGCCATTTCCTTCTCCAGGGAATCTTCCTGACCCAGGGATCAAACCCAGGTTTCCCGTATTGCAAGCAGACTCTTTACCGTCTGAGCTACCAGGGAAGCTCTCAAGAGTATCAAATGCTATAAAAAAAAAATTGAGCATAAGAAAGAATGAAAAATGTATGTCTAATATACACTCTATTATATACTATTAAATTAGCTTTCATACTTAAGAGGTTAAAAGTTTATTTCAGAAATATTTTAATTCATAATGGTGAAAACAATGTTTTTCAATGTTTTCTTTAACCTTCAATTCTTTGGAGTCCAATGACTTATTCCACTATATAGTTCAGATAATTAACAATTTACTGTAATTTCTTCCCAACTATAAAAAATATTTCAAAAGATCAGAATAACGTGTCCCCGTACTGAACTCCATCTCTTGAACTTCAGAGCATTTGTAATCAATTACAATTTCCAGTTTAAAGAAAGTTCATCTTTTAAAATATTATATATTTTTATTTCAAATTTATATTTTAATGGTAAAATTTATGTGTAGCATGTGGTGGCTAGAATATAAAAACTGTATGTTTTAGACCTGCTACTACAAGAAGATCAAACCAGTCAATCCTAAAGGAAATGAACCCTAAATAGTCATTGGAAAGGCTGATGCTGAAGCTCCAATACTTCAAGCACCTGAAGCAAAGGACCGACTCACTGGAAAAGACCCTGATGCTGGGAAAGACTGAAGGCAAAAGGAGAAGGAGGTGGCAGAGAATGAGATGGTTAGACAGCATCACTGACTCTATGGACATGAATTTGAGTAAACTTTGGGAAATAGTGACGAACAAGGAAGCCTGGTGTGCTGCAGCTCAAGGGGTCACAAAGAATCGGACATGACTTAGCGACTGAACAACGACAACCACATGTCAAAAGAAGTAGTTTAGTGGAGTAGTCACTGGGCTTCCCTGGTAGCTCAGTGGTGAAGAATCTGCCTGCAATGCAGGTGGGAAGATCCACTGGAGACAGGACAGGCTGCCCACTCCAGTATTCTCGGGCTTCCCTGGTAGCTCAGTGGTGAAGAATCTGCCTGCAATGCAGGTGGGAAGATCCGCTGGAGACGGGACAGGCTGCCCACTCCAGTATTCTCGGGCTTCCCTGGTAGCTCAGTGGTGAAGAATCTGCCTGCAGTGCAGGTGGGAAGATCCGCTGGAGACGGGACAGGCTGCCCACTCCAGTATTCTCGGGCTTCCCTGGTAGCTCAGTGGTAAAAAACATGCCTGCAGTGTGAGAGACCTGGGTTCGACCCCTGGGTTGGGAAGATCCCCTGGGGAAGGCTACCCACTCCAGTATTCTGGCCTGGAGAATTCCATGGACTGTATAGTCCATGGGGTTGCAAAGAGTCGGACACAACTGAGCAACTTTCACTTTCAGCCACTGGTTTACCAGTGATCTTCATTCAGTAGGAGTCAGCCTAGGTTTATTTCAAATTGCATTCTTTCTCTTCCTTTCGCATATCTCCCTAGAAAAATCACTGCATATGATGGTTAGGAACAAGATCAAGGTTAACCTCCAGTAAGTTAACCACTTGTCAGACAAAACTCAACATTCCTTTGACAAAGTTAACAGGATTCAGAATTTCTACCATCATTCACCATGCTGTGACAAAAATGATCAGGCATCTGAATAAATAGGAAAACATGATCCAGAGTTAAGAGAAAAATCCATCAATGTAAACTGACTCATAAAAAAATCCTGATGTTGGAATTAACAATGACTTCAAAATAACAGAGACAAACATGATAAACAATCTATACAAAAAGATAGACCCTTCTTGTTTAATTGAAAGTAAACAAACTTTCAATTAAAAGCTGATGTCAGATGTTAAAGTACTGAATATTTCCATAGTTTAGTAAACAGGTCTGGTTCCAAGTCACCCAAGTGTTTTCCCCCACCACTGATTCCTGTTCTCACAAAGATTTAAGAACTAAAGGAATGATTCTGGGCATCTGGGGGATGTCAAGATCCTGTACAAATAATCAATATCCTTGGGAAGATCCCCTGGAGAAGGGAACGGCTACCCACTCCAGTATCTGGCCCTGTTGAATTCCAAGGACTGTACAGTCCATGGGGTCGCAAAGAAGTGGACACGACTGACTTTTACTTTTTTTTTTTACTTAGGTCTTTGTATGTCGCACTGATTTTTATTGAAAATCACCCTGGGTGTAAGTAAACACAGAATACATATAAACATACTCTAAGTTATTCCTTTAGAGAGAGGCTCTCCAATCACTAACTTCTATGGGCTTTACTAACAGCTGTGTGATATCACAGGGGTGTCTTGTTATTGCTGTTGTTATTTTAATTAAGGATCTTAGAAGCAGAATAACAGGATTTTGGAAGGAGAATAATAGGATTTGGGGATCTTATTAGTCAAATATTCTTAATAGGAAATATATAATTCATAATTACCAATTTTCAAATATGTAAATATGTTTGTTACCTAATTAATATTAAACACTATATATACTACATGGGGCTTTCTATGTGCCTGGGAAGAAGGAAGATAGAGAATAAAGTGTAAAATTTACTACCATTTATTATTAGTTAGAAATTCAGTAAGAGCTTTAATTATAAATTATACTAGTACTTTTTTCTTTTTTTTAATTAAAAAGAAAAATTTATACTGGGATATAGCCAGTTAACAATGTTGTGACAGCTTCAGATGAACAGAGAAGAGTCTCAGCCCTGTACCCATTCTCCTGCCAGCCCCTCTCCCATCCAGTCTGCCGCATAACACTGAGCAGAGGTCCATGTGCTATACAGTAGGTCCTTGCTGCTTATCCATTTTAAGTATAGCAATGGTAGTACTTTTTACTTTCTAAACATACTCTACCCTTAATTAATAACAAGAAAAAGATGTTTAACATTTAACCCTATTCCTTCTTCAATCAAAAATTAAAGACGGCACTACTCTTGCCATCTTACGCTTATAAGCAGCAGTCTGTCCCTACCTTTATTTGACTTATTTTCAGCAGTTTTCAGCGAGAAAACAGAAGGCTAAAGCCCAATTTTCATACCTCCTCACTCAATTCAAAATTATATAGGAATTCTTCAATTAAATTTCCAGGAGGTACATGTTATAGGTGCTAATAACAACACTGTTCTGAAATGCAATCATTTTACTGAAGTTTTGAGAGAAACCTTAGAGATTTCCAATCACCTAAATAAGTAGGTTAAAAACGAGCACAAGTTACACTTGTATAAGACAGCAGGAATTCTTTTTTTAAAGGCTTTTTTCTATCCTATCTCCATGAACTGTATATGTTCCCCCCACCAGGTGGAGGCAGAAAGCCATGCTTGTACGGTTTGGTTCCTAGACATTCAAAATTCCTCACACAAGTTACATTCTTTTTTTTTTTTTTAAATCAAATACATATTTAATTAAGAAACTAATAATGCATTATTACCCAAATAAAATGTAAGCACGTGTTCAATTATCATGTTCCATATTTCAGAGAAGAGGCAATAAGGATTTATGCCATAAGTTTATTTACAAACGTATCTAGGATGCTGAGTTCAAGGGTTTGATCCTTTTAAGAGACTGCACCTCTTAATATGTTCCTCTTCGTATCTGTCTCATGGGTTACTTTTTAAGCAGTTGGTGTCTCACTATAAAGAAAGGTGCAGCAAATCCAGACCCAAAGAACAAAGTCATCATAGCTAGTAACCTCCACTTGTTTTCCACTGAAAATGGTATATTCTTCCCTGGACCCTCCTCGTAGTGGCTCCGACGAACCACAGAGGTTGTGAACCTCCGGATGCTCTGTCCCAACATAGCGCTGTTGGAAGCTCTACAAAAGATCGAGACTGAAGGCGGAAGAAATGGCGGCCGCAAAATGCGCGCTGCTTCCTCACGACCTTGTTCCTCCACAAGTTACATTCTTAAACAGAATCTCTATGCTGAAATAAAATCTGAGACGAAGAGTTAACATGAACTTTTGTAGCCCTCATCACATTTGAAAGTGAATAAAAACACCAAAAAGGCATTCTTTTTCTCTGAGAATTAGAGTGAAAAAGGATAGAATAAACAAGGCAAGACAATAGTCAGCCACTTGCACACAATACTATTTAATATGTTCTAGTATCTGTACTGTATTCTAATAAGAGAAACAATAAAAGAAGCCTTTCATTACAACTGTGAACCAGAAGGATTTAAAAAACATAGGTACTGCATTCATATACAATAGCTTAATGTATTCACATATTGCATCCATATAGATCAATATTTTTTCCGAAACCTATCCCCCGGCCACTCAGTTCTCAAGCCCAGTTTCTTATGTATTCTTTCAGAACAAGACCTATTCTACCACCACCAGCTCTCTTTAAAAAGAGGGATAGTAATGTTAGCATTATTACATACAACATACATTGCTTTTTTTTAATCCAACAACATATTTGGGAAGTGTTTTCAAGGAAGAGTGCCTTCAATGTTTGTACAAAAGCAGAAATATCTTTTTAAGTAATACAGACTATGTTATACCATTTGAAACGAAGAAATGAAGTAGCCTTCATAGTCAACAAAAGTCAAACAATTTGAGTCAGTGCAATCTCAAAAACGACAGAATGATCTCTTCATTTCCAAGGCAAACCATTTAATATCACAGTAATCCAAGTCTATGCCCCAACCAGTAATGCTGAAGAAGCTGAAGCTGAATGGTTCTATCAAGACCTACAAGACCTAGAACTAACACCCAAAAAGATGTTCTTTTCATTACAGAGGACTGGAAAGCAAAAGTAGGAAATCAAAAGACACCTGGAGTAACAGGCAAATCTGGCCATAGAGTACGGAATGAAGCAGGGTAAGCTAACAGAGTTCTGCCAAGAGGACGCGCTGGTCACAGCAAACACCCTTCAACAAGAGACGACGCCACATGGACATCACCAGATGCTCAATACTGAAATCAGACTGAGTATATTCTTTGCAGTCAAAGATGGAGAAGCTCTATACAGTCAGCAACAACAAGACCGGGAGCTGACTGTGGCTCAGATCATGAACTCCTTATTGCCAAATTCAGACTGAAATTGAAGAAAGCAGGGAAAACCACTAGACCATTCAGGTATGACCTAAATCAAATCCCTTACGATTATACAGTGGAAGTGACAAACAGATTCAAGGCACTCTGATAGACAGAGTGCCTGAAGAACTATGGAAAAAGGTTTGTGACATTGTACAGGAGGCAGTGATCAAAACCATCCACAAGAAAAGGAAATGCAAAAAGGCAAAATGGTTGTCTGAAGAGGCCATACAAATAGCTGAAAAAAGAACAGAAGTGAAAGGCAAAGAAGAAAAGATAAACCCATTTGAATGCAGAGTTCCAAAGAATAGCACTGAGAGATAAGAAAGCCTTCCTTAGTGATCAGTGCAAAGAAATAGATGAAAACAACAGAATGGGAAGGACTAGAGATCTCTTCAAGAAAATCAGAGATATCAAGGGAACATTTCATGCAACGATGGGAACAATAAAGGACAGAAATGGAATGGACCTAACAGAAGCAGAACATATTAAGAAGAGGTGGCAAGAATACACAGAAGAACTATACAAAAAAGATCTTCATGAGCCAGATAATCACGAAGGTGTGATCACTCACCTAGAGCCAGACATCCTGGAATGCAAAGTCAAATAGGCCTTAGGAAGCATCACTACGAACAAAGCTAGTGGACGTGATGGAATTCCAGTTGAGCTATTTCAAATCCTAAAAGATGATGCTGTGAAAGTGCTGCACTAAATATGCCAGCAAATTTGGAAAACTCAGCAGTGGCCACAGGACTGGAAAAGGTCAGTTTTCATTCCAGTCCTAAAGAAAGGCAATGCCAGAGAATGCTCAAACTACTGCACAACTGCACTCATCTCACATGTAGCAAAGTAATGCTCAAAATTCTCCAAGCCAGGTTTCTATAGTACATGAACGGTGAACTTCCAGATGCTCAAGCTGGATTCAGAAAAGGCAGAGGAACCAGAGATCAAACTGCCAACATATGTTGAATCACTGAGAAAGCAAGAGAATTTCAGAAAAACATCTACTTCTGCTTTATTGACTATGCTAAAGCCTTTGCTGTGTGGATTACACCAAATTGTGGAAAATTCTTAAAGGGATGGAAATACCAGACTACTTTACCTGCCCCCTGAGAAATCTGTATGCAGGTCAAGAAACAACAGTTAGAACCAGACATGGTACAACAGACTGGTTCCAAATAGGGAAAGGAGTACATAAAGGCTGTATACTGTCACCCTGCTTATTTAACTTATATGCAGAGTACACCATGAGAAATGCTGGGCTGGAAGAAGCACAAGCTGGAATCAAGATTGCTGGAGAAGTATCAATAACCTCAAATACGCAGATGACACCAACCTTATGGCAGAAAGTGAAGAAGAACTAAAGAGCCTCTTGATGAAAATGAAAAGAGAGTGAAAAAGTTGGCTTAAAACTCAACATTCAGAAAACTAAGATCAAGGCATCCGGTCCCAACAATTCATGGCAAACAGATGGGGAAACAATGGAAACAGTGACAGACTTTATTTGGCGGCGGGGGGCTCCAAAATCATTGCAGATGGTGACTACAACCATGAAATTAAATGACGCTTGCTCCTTGAAGAAAAGCTATGACAAACCTAGTCAGAATATTAACAAGCAGAGACATTACTTTGCCAACAAAGGTCCATCTAATCAAGGCTATGGTTTTTCCAGTAGTCATGTACTGATATGAGAGTTGGACTATAATGAAAGTTGAGTGCTGAAGAATTGATGTTTTTGAACTGTGGTGTTGGAGAAGACTCTTGAGAGCCCCTTCGACTGTAAGGAGATCAAATCAGTCCATCCTAAATGAAATCAGTTCTGAATACTCATTGGAAGGACTGATGCTGAAGCTGAAGTTCCAATACTTTGGCTATCTCATGTGAAGAACCAGAAAAGACCCTGGTTCAACCCTTTTCCAACCATGATCCTTGGAAAAGGCCCTGATGCTGGGAAAGACTGAAGGCGGGAAGAGAAGGGGACAACAGAGAATGATATGATTGAATGGCATCACTGATTCAATGGACATGAGTTTGAGCAAGCTCCAGGAGTTGATAGGACAGGGAAGCCTGGCGTGTGCAGTCATGGGATCACAAAGAGTTGGACACGACTAAGCAACTAACTCAACTATACCATTTGAATAATTCTAGATCTTATAAAAAAAATTTCTAAATAAAATTATAGTTGATGTATCCCAATTGTGGGATTATTATTATTACTGTAATATATATATAATAATGTACCATCTTGTAAGCTTTTACATTTTTTATAAGGACTAATCAAGAATTTCTAGGACTAAAAAGAAATGATCCTCAATGACAAGAAGTAAAATCAACTTTCTTATTGCTCATGCAATTAACAAACCATACATTATATATTGTCATCACAAAATGCAAAGTTTAATAACCAAAGTACTGTACCTCATGATGGGTGCTTGCAAATCCAGTATTTTCCTCATCTCTAAATTTAATGCTGGAGCACACTGTTCTTCCTTAAAATGGGGTGTACCTTTCATTTGTGGGCTTCCTCTAAAAAAAAAAGAATATATAGGATTACAGAGAAAGATATTTAATTCAATCATATGTACAAATCAAGTGTTCATCCTTTAGGTTCTCAAGTAAAAAACATATTTAAATTCCATTTTAGCAGACAATATCTATCAATTAGAAATTAATGTGTTTGACCAATGTAACCTGTGTTGGGGAGGGGTTGGGAGTGGAGAGAGAAAACCAAAGAAACTAAAACACAAACACACACACACATGACAGGATAAAAGTGAATTCTCAGAGGAACCAAGAGATAACTTATTTAAAATGATTGATTGCCTTTTTCTGAGTTGGGCAACTATGGAACTTACATACCATTCTATCATATTGTGCACATCTGAAGTGATCCAAATGGTCACCTCATCTTACCTTAGTCACACCTCACTCTTGCTTTTTATCCTTTAGGTGCGTATCAGACAGAAAGTCAGATTCAGGGATACAATTAGGAGATGTTCTAAGTAAGTGGTAATAAATGGCAAAATGGCTAAATGCAAAAACTCCCTGGCACTAAACGGCTGCACTAGAGCAGCTAGGCCAATGCCAATATAACTGAGCTGTCACACACAACTCCTCAAAAGGACTATAAAGCTGTTTTGGAATCTTTTTTTTTTAATATATATATTTTATTTTATTTTATTTATTTGGACCATTCTTTCTCAATGCCTGTGCTAGGATTTAACAGCTATCTGTCTCTTCTCCTATCAGCTAACTCAAGGCAACAGTTAGTCTGCCTCCATCATCTTTTCATCTTGTTAGCTATAATCCTATAAACCAATTTGTCAATATTACTAAAATTATGTACAAAGAGTCTAACAAATTAAACAGCTTTTAGGAGTCCTAGCTTTGAGAAAATTATCTGGATGCTAAGAAAATTATTCAGATACTTTTTTAGTTTTAAGTTATTTCCCATATTGAAGCCTGGTGGAGCTTTATCATCATCCAGCTACTGCCATATGCTGGAATATCTGATTCTTTCTACATGTCTGAATGGCTAAACTGGCTAATGTTTAACCAAACATGTTCATGTTCAATTAGTATATCTGACTGATATGATACCCTTAGAAGGCCACTATGAATTATTATCAATAATTTACAGGAATCACACCTGACTAATCACACAAACCACTGTGATGAATTTCCTGAGACATTCTCCACGTACATCTGGTTTTAAAGTTATTTTTCAAAGTAATACATACACATATTGATAAAAAGTTAAACAGTGCTAGAAGGCTTATGACCAAGAAAACTACAGAAGAAGTCTTTTTTCATTAACGAAGCAGCCAGCTTGAATTCTTTGAGCTGTTGTCTTTTTTTATTTACTTACGTATTTTTAAACCATGTGTTTACACTGCTTTAGCATCATTAATTTTAGACATTATTAACTTTCTATTCTCATCTACCAATTTTCCCCCATCCTCCCAACATAATTATACCAAATATTTTCATTATGATGATTATATAAATATGTTTCACTTCTGGGTCAAGTAGTGTTCAGTAATTAAATTTCTTTCCTTATATAACTTGCTAATCTTCTTGAAGTTAATTTTACCACATGCCTCTATTTGCTTGATTTCCTTTAAACTTATACCTAATTATCTCATACTCCTTAACAGCTCTGACAAAACAACTCTCAATATAATCTTCTATTTGGTCAAACCTGTTAACAGAACTTACCATTTCCATCCCCTGACCCTGCCTCTGGGGTCACCACTCTTTATGCCCAATGGCCTACTGCCTAAGTCTAATGCATAGCTATCAAATATGATATTTACTTTGTCATCATCCTTATGATTTCTTTGCTTCTTTCCTATGGTGAATCCTTTATTTTATAGATCCCGTATCTTCCTCGGTTCACATATTCTTGGGGCTTCCTGGAAAGGTGCATGAGAAGTAAACTTAGAACTCTCAAGTCTGAAATGTTTCTATTTTATTATGACACTTGAATGAATGCTTGTCCCTCCAAAAAAGAGTATGATAAAGTTGTCTGAAAAGGCATTTCTTCTGCCACTGTTCTACATCCTAACAGGGTCCCACAAATGTTTCTTCCAATGCTTTTACTGAATTTAAAATTTCTGCTATCATAATTCTCAATTCCAGGAACTTTCTCACCAATTTCCCCTTTTTTCTTATACCATCAATTTTTTAAAATTAGGCAATACCTGTTTAAAGTTGATTATTATTATCTCCCCAAAGTGTTTTTTTTCCCTGCACTATTTCTTTTCCATCATTTGCATTTTTTAAAAAGGTTTATTTATTTATTTGGCTGCACTGGGTCTTCCCTGCAATGCGCAGCCTTTCTCCAGCTGTGGCACAAGGGCTCTAGAGGGTGCAGGCTCAGTAGCTGTAGCGAGCCGGCTCTCTAGTCGCAGTACACGGGCTTAGTTGCCTCATGGCACATGGGATCTTCTCCATTCAGGGATCAAATCCACATTCCCCACACTGGAAAGCAGATTCTCAACCTCTGGACCACCAGGTCCATCTATTTCCTGTGAGTTTCCTTTTTTCTGTTGTGTGTGTCTATTTTACATTGAAAACTTTCTTAAGATGGCCAACAATCCTTGACTAACAATATTTCTTCATGTTTAACAGGTTAGCAAGAAAAAACAAATTATAAGCTCTGTGAGTTTAAGCTGGGTTGTCAACGGAGGACTTCAGTATACTGGCCAGAAGTCTTCCAATATGAGAGCCTGTTGGGTCATTCATCTGGAGTAATTTAATTTCTCCAGGAAGAATCCCTCAATCCTCTCTGGGATTTAAGTATGGAAGCCAGATGTCTGGAGCCAAGCAAGGGAAGAAAGCTTGACATCGTATCATTCAGCACAACAACTTTCACTTAATCCCCATCTTAGGTTAGCATCTCATCCTTGCCCTATTCTGTGTCCAGAATCCCTGTGGTTTAAACAGATAGTATATTTCCTGTCTCCTGTGAGGTAAGAACATAGAAATTCATTCCCTGTTCAGATTTTTCAAACAATCCCCATTTATGGCCCCCTATATTCTGTGACATTAGTGCCTGAACCATTCTAGAGTTCTGATCAAACAAGCTGTTGTTCATCAATATCATATATGCAACCACAGGCTCTCAGATTTGATATTCTTCTTGAGTCATTTATTCTTATTCATCCAATTTTTTGGTTATTGGTTAGATATTTCCAGCTGTCATTAAAGGTGAAAACAGTATTTCAACTTTTCGTTCTAATTGGTGATTTTCAAGAAAAAAGCAGAGGTCTTCCATGGTGGTACAATGGATGGGAATCCGCCTGCCAATGCGGGGTACACAGGTTTGATCCCTGGTCTGGGAGGAGTCTACATACTGAGGAGCAGCTGAGCAGGAGCCCCATAACTACCGAGTTCATGTGCTACAACTACAGAAGCCTGGGCGCCTAGAGCCTGTGCCCCATAATAGAGGAGCCACTGCTTGCCACAACTAGAGAAAGCCAGCACACAGCAACGAAGATCCAGCGCAACCAAAAAAAGAAAAGTGGAAACCTCATTGCTATGCTATGCTAAGTCACTTCAGTCGTGTCCGACTCTGTGCGACCCCATCCCTGGGATTCTGGAGTGGGTTGCCATTTCCTTCTCCAATGCATAAAAGAGAAAAGTGAAACCTCATTTTTAAACCCATCTTTAAACCGTAAATTATTTTCTTTTTTATAAATACTATCATTTAGTAAAGCTAAAGTTATTAAGAATTTTATGGCAAATTTAAGTAAATTCTGACTTCTCAGTGACTTTCACTGCAAAATTAAGACATATATTTCACAGTATAGTTTCCATTGCTTCCTCTAAATGTACTAAAAATGCAGTAAACTGTTAAAATCACAATAACAAAAAAATTAACTTTCTGATCAAAAATACTACTATTAATAACTCAACTATAATTTGAAAGTATTGCATCAGATTTTTGAAAGGGCGGGCTTCCCTGGTGGCTCAGATGGTAAAGAATCCACCTGCAATGTGGGAGACCTGGGTTCGATCCCTGGGTTGGCACGATCCCCTGGAGAAAGGAATGGCTACCCACTGCAGTACTGTTTCCTGGAGAATTCCATGGACAGAGGACTCTGGCGGGCTACAGTCCATGGGGTCATAAAGAATCAGACATGACTGAGCAACTTTCACTCATGCATGGAAGATGAGGAGGGAAGGGTAAGTTAAAGCCTAACTATGAAGAGCAGTGAATGCCAGGAGGAAAAAAAGGCAGTAAATTGAGCATTCCCTAAATATGAGTATACAATAAGTTCTGCACACATCTCAATCGACTGATTACCATCCTTTGAATCAGGCATTATTATCTCTATGTTTCCAGAAAAGAAACTGAAGCTTCAGTTTATTATTAAGAGTTCTGTTGATGGTCACACAACGAGTAAGCGAAGGAGCTGACACGTGAGCCAGTGGCTTCAATACCAGGTGCTACGAAACTGAAAACTAGTAGAATTAAAGAGGTTAATAACAACATTTGTGTACACAAAGAAATATTACAATGAATGCCAAAGAAGGGATTAGGGATACAGTGGGGAGGAACAGTCCGTAGATTACTTAGGAGACTATTAGTAAGAGTACACAAAGGCATCTACTGGCAGTGGCAGTAGAATGTCTTTTCAGACAACTTTATCATAATCTTTTTTGAAAGGTGATAATAAAAGCATATTGAGAATTATAACTCTCAGTAATAGAGGCTTCTCAGAGACAGACACAATCACACTGTATGCATACCTGGTTGTCATTTAAGCTACGGAAAAATACTGTATTTTTCATTCTTGGGCACATAAAATTGTGCTTTTCTGACCACTGAAAATAAGGTACGGCCATGTGACTTGTTTTGGCCTATAAAACACAAGGGAAAGGGATTTGTGTTACTTCTGGGCAGAGGATTTAAGAGACAACACTTAGCACATGATGCTCTGCTTTAATCCTCTATCTCAGGGACTTAGCTGTCATAAGCTTAGCTGATGACATATAATACAGCAGTCTCTTGGTGTCTG